TGTTTAAATTTCTCTTTTTACCGTTAAGCATTTGGAATTTAATAATATGGAAGCATTTTATACCAAATCAATGAAGAACCATTTTTTATTACAATAATTGAAAATTTAAGAAATAATATAAATAAATGTAGATATTTATAATCAATAAAAAATCCTCTTTGTCAATATATTAGTTATAATTAATTGATTTAATTTAAAAACTACTAAAAATATAAATGTTTTGTTATTTTTCCTTCTATAAATTTAAAAGTTTCATTTGATTTGCAAAAAGTTTCATTTCGGTTGCAAACGGTTTCATTTCGGTTGCAAAAGGTTTCATTTCGGTTGCAAAAGGTTTCATTCCCACTGCAAAAGGTTTCATTTCCACTGCAAAAGGTTTCAATTCCACTGCAAAAGGTTTCATTCCCGCTGCAAAAAGATTCATTTGAATTGCAAAAGGTTTCATTTAATCTGAAAATGCTATATATAAAAGTCGAGAGATTCATTGCGTTGAGACGCATTAATTTATTCTCACATTTATATGCACATCTCAATATTCTATGTGAGTACATATCTTCCCCTGATTCACTCTCAGGTAACTACTTGCAACACAAGTATCCCGTGATTTCCAGTTTTGTGATATTTACCAAATATTGTTACAGTTCTACGGGTCTGAAATTCTTTACTGTTTCAATGCTTCGGTTTCCTACCGTAGATATGAACGCTAGCTTCACATGTTTCAAACTCAATGCATATAATTGTGGGGTAGGCACACTCATCAAATAAAGAGAAATAAAAATACGGATCTCCCTCTCTGACGCTTCTTGTAAAATACTGATTTAAATGAGTTTGGTATAACGCCAACAACAATAGAATTAACTGAAGTAGAAGAATATTGCTACCACAATATTAATTCATTGCCGATAGTTTACCAAAGATATTGCATATTGGAATTGTGAAAATCGGCGCCATCATCTTGTTGCCTTCTCAAAAGTGCTCATTCTCACATTTGCTTGTCAATTAGGCCATGGTATCTGCATCAAAAGTTATATCAAAACAAAACACTTTATGTCTCCGTAGTCAGACCTTAATAAGAAGATAGCGACAATAATTCCGGCGCCTCTCAGAAAATAATAAAAATATTACCTCCAAACTAATTTACACCAAACCCATTCCCATTGCCTCACATGTTTCAACATGCTCCGCCACACCGATTCACACACGCTCTACAAAACGACAAATTTGTTTCACATTCAACCTGGTTGCTTCGACATACCCAGCCGAAGGATCCCTGGTGTACTCTCAAATACGGGTCACAAATATGATTATGAATTATAGCTCATAAATCCAATTCGATGGTTACGATTTATTGCCCATCAAATGCGACCAAACGACACAAACACCACTAACTGACAGCTATGCTTGTTAGAGGGCGTCGTCAGGATATTAATTGGCATGGCGATGGTTTTAAATACATTCTCTTGTTGCCACTTCGATAATGGTTTCTCTGGAGGGCGTAAGGGAAAGAGATCCTAAAAATAAATCGATGGCATGGAACGAAGAAAAGTCCGTTGACCGCAACGAATTATGGTTTATGAGTCCCGTAAATGCATTTGTATTTGCTAATAAACAATTTCGCATTAACAAGTGCGTTTTTTGTGGCCAATAACAATTTCAAATGTTGTGAGAAATTAGAAATTTGAGAAATCTTATTGGGTGTTGCTTTGAAGGTTTGAATGGGCTTATGTCGAAAGTTATACTTATTAGGTAGATGCTTTGTAATTCTTAAGATTAATGAGAGATATTAAGCAAATTACTCAATTTAAATTTAATTTTTTTCGTCTATCATTTGGACGATATATATTGTTTGCATGATATACGGACAGGGTGCGTATAAGTAATATATTATAAAATAATTAACATTGCGACACGCCATCATTAAATAATTTAAAAAAGAGCAACGCATATAGATTGTGGGCAAAAATTATGGAAATATTTTTGTGTTTTGATAGAAATAAAATGTTTTGAGCCCCGTTTGTCCAGAATGGCATTTCTATTTTTTTTTTTTTTTTCAAAAACCAACCAAAAACATATAGCTTTAAAAATATTTACTATTCTGTTGAAGAACAAATTGTTGGAATGGGAACAATGTGCAAAATAATATCGGTATTTGATTTAATGTCTAGCAGAGAGTTGTATGTTGGAAAATACGGCATTCGTGTCCAAATTCGATATCCAGACAAAGATACAGTTTTAATTTCGATCCATAAATTGCAATAAATATAAGTTAAAGCATTAAATAATAGTGGACCAAAATTTATACTTTTTTGAATGGAGATTTTCTGCTAGAATAATAAATTACTGTTAAAGTAATATGAATACTGAAGTATAGTATTATGAATGCCATTATAGCAAATACCGATATTGTGGCCCACATATACCCAGCTTCAAGGAAGCTTCTTATTCACTAGAGCACTGTCAATTCAACTAGAAAGAGAGCTTAAAACTTTGTAAGTAAAAACGACGTGAAGTTCAGCTGGTCCAAACTTTTTATAGCCTCGGCCAATTGAAACCCTGATTTCTGGGCTAATAGACTTTCTTCAAAAATGGAGTATTATTACGAGAAGTTACTCTATTCAATTAGAACCCAAAATATCAAACTACATCTGATTTGATTGGATATTTGGTACCGAAACCATCGAGATACAAAATTTAATTCATTTAAATTAAATTTGAGAATTGTAAAGTCTATATTGTTTCAACAGACGGACGGGGTGGTGCTACCAGAATTAAAAAAAACTTAAACTCTATCTTATGATGGAGGTTTTAATCAGGTGTATCGTATTATGAGGATGCTCTAGAAATCATAAATAGGCCTGTTTTCAGGAAAATTCCGTTTTTAGAATTCTAATAACAAAATGATTTCCATTTTATTAGTCTTTAAAACTTTAAGATATCCTATATCGGATGGAATATTATGTAGGGACTATATCTACATGTAGGAGGGGCTATACCACAGCGAAATTTTTTCCAAAAAAATAAGAACAAGGATAGATTAATGCAAATTCCATTGAAATGGTTTCGAGAGCCTTCAGCAAATCAAATATTGTGAATCCATGTCGACCATTTGTATACCTTCAGCCATATGGCTAGATACGGCCAAAACGTGCCTCATCGAAATAATGTTTTTAGACCCTAGGTCTTTTTGGAACAAATCCGTTTCAGAATATTTGGAGTAGTTCTAGCGATGTCCGTCCATTCGTCTGTCTGACAGGCTGGTGCGCACGATAACTCTCGACGGGAGTATCCAAACTTGGTGCATTATAATATAAATGTCAAACTAAAATCGAGTTCGGAGATGGGCACTCTCCTCCCCACAAAATGTCAAAATAATTTACTGCACAGAAAGAGAAAGGATAATCCGATTTTGCTCCAACTTTGCAAATCCTAATATTTGCATCAGTGACAGATCAGGTGCGAAAATGTACAATATTGGTCCACTTCATCCAGTACCTCCCCCCACAAAGGGTCAAAATTTTGAATAATTATAACTATTATAAAATGTAATGTAGGTGTCTGATAATCTTCAAATTACACACATCTATTCTACTAACAAAAGATCTGTTATAAAGACGGTAGAGATCATACCAGTTCTTATGGTATTGGAAGGCTATATTAAACCATGCACTTGTATAGGCTAATGGATAGGGATGATTAGTAGTGGGATAACCTTACCCATTTTTTGAGTTAACGAAAAATATCGGTAAAATAAACGTAAAATTACGAATGACAATTATAAATTAAAGTTGACAGCACTGTTGTAACGAATAGGACACATGGATGGGACACATCGTTAATTACTGAAATTATAAGCATTTTAATTCTACCGATTTTTATCGGTAACCAACAAATGAGTTAAAGAATCTAATTACAGATCGCCTTAGAATTGAAGTAAAAATATATATATTTAGTTCGAAGGAAACTACAAATTACAAAACAAATTAATCGGATTCCTGAACCATTATCTTAATACATGGTTGTTCCTTGGTCGCAAATAAATAATTATTTTTTGGCTACTATAAATGATAACTATTTACTTGTCGACTCATATGTGGTCAAGGAATAATTACCTATTTCGTACGACGTAATTTTTATATTTTTTTTTTTTTGGTATGATAGATGGTATGAAATCGCAAAATTACGTTCGATAGGTTGAAAAAATATGTCGACATTGCCTTGTTAAAATAATGGGTCAGTAATTTGTATATTTTTTCTGGTATGGTAGATGGTATGATAGGTTAAAAAAATATTCTAACATTATTTAGAGCAGAGGTATCCTACGAAGTACCGTTTATTAACTTTATTTTATTAAGAAAGAAAACATTAAAAATATGTAGAAAAATATATAGATATTTATACCATCAATAGGTCAAATATGACAAAAATCCTAAGAACTCCTAATTAGAATAACAATTTATACCAAAGTCGTCCAACTTTAAATTTCCCTTTTCAACAGTTATATGCCCATAGCATTCAAGAAAAGCAATGTCAGTACACCATGATCAATTTATAGGCAAAGACATTGAATGCCATCGAATGCCACCTGACCAAAAACCACAATTGTCTGTCAGCTAGACAATAGCCTTCAGGATGTTGGCGAAAAGTTATCTGACCCACAGCGAATAAGTTAAATCAATCGATTCATCAAACCAATTCGCATGCTGCACACAGCCGTTACACAGACCAGGCATAGGTACTTGCGAGTCCGTGCCGACAATGGACATGTGTGCGAGCATGTTGGTTGTAATTGTTGGCTGAATACACAATGCCGTACGACCGCGTCAGTTACACACGGCCATAACTAAAAGTACCTCAATTACTATCCATTGCAGTCGATTAACTTAACTACGACGTCAATGATGACAGACGATTGATAATAAAAATGTACATCCTTCCACTTCGATGAACCTCTTTAATAACTATCTTTACTGATTCCTTTCTTTCTCGGTTTCCATTTACAGGAAGACATGGTGTGCCTCTCGTGCACGGCAACGGGTGAGCGCGTATGTCTGGCCGCTGAGGGTTTCGGCAACCGTCATTGTTTTCTGGAAAACATCGCCGATAAAAATGTGCCACCCGATCTATCACAGTGCGTGTTTGTCATCGAACAGGCGCTGTCCGTGCGCGCCCTGCAGGAATTGGTGACAGCGGCCGGATCAGAGACGGTAAGTATTCAGAGGTCATTTGAAATGTATGGGCCCTTGCCAATCAATAGCATCGTGCATCCATAGACATTTCCATAAATAAAAGAATAACATTATGAGACCCCAGAATCATCCAACCGACCACGCAACAGTCATCAAAAGCGAAGCACAGCTCGCACACTCACACACTCGTACACTCCCACACATCCACTAAATTATTGTGCAACAACACAATGAAATGTGTCCCAGATATCCTAAACGATGCAAATATGTATCCGTAATGCCTCAAATGATCCAAAATGGGAAGGTATACCATATGTCATACGGGCATGCTACATTTTGATCATCTTCGAAATTGTCACAGCCACGGAATAAAAAATCGAATCTACTAAACCATTTTAAACTATAATTCAATAATCCTATTTGTAATTTACAAAATTGATTTGAAATTCGTCAAACCATGGCTTACATAAGGTCGGTCAGTAAGCGTATCTGACAACCAAGTTTTCCGTCGAAGTAAATATTGTGATTTAAAATTCGAAGAGAGACAAATCACAATAGTGCAAAAGCTACTAAGTTTATTGTCAAATTGCTTCCAAAACTTTATTTAATATTCAGATGAAATTCAGAGTACAGTAATTAAAATTCAGATATTCAAAGATACTAAAAAATTCTCAATAGAAATTCAAAATTTCTCTTTCAAATCACTACACCTTTTTCAGTTTTAACTCGAATAATTCGTAACATTTCATATGTAATTCGAGAATTTATTTTGTAATTCGAATTATTACAATTGTAATTCACATGACACCAATTGTAATTCGAATTATTACATTTGTAATTCGAGTTGTTCATTTGCATTTGAAATCCGAAGAAAAAAATACTTACACTATAGGTGGTGTAGTTTTTGTTTTAATGTATATCATATCTCCGTTATTTTAATTTCATGTGTTTTATATATTTATATAAAATATTAAAAATTTATATTTTACGTTGTTCTTCATTTCATTTTTTATGAATACCTATAACGAAATACATTTTAATTGAATATCCTATCCACAATAACAATATTTTTTGGTAATGTTATGAATTTCAAATGCAAAAAATTCGAATTAAATCATTCGAATTATAATTCGAAAAATTCGAATTACAAATCTATAATTACGATTAAAATATCCAATTACATCCGAAAAAGGTGTAGTTTTATTTAAAATTGAAATATTTTATTTGAAATGCTTCATATTGCTTTTGGTATTCAAATAATTTATTAGAAATGTATGTCTAAAATTTAAAATTAGAATATTGCAATTACATTTTCCGAATTTTCAAATGAAATATTTGAATTTCAATTGTTGTTTTCTGAATTCTAAATGAAAACTCTGAATTTTATTTGACATTTTCTAAAATTGATATTAAACTTCTGAATTTAAATTGAAATCTTCTCTAATTAAAATAGACTATTTGAATTTCAAATAACAAGTTACAAATTTCTTATACAGTTTCTGAGTTCTGACGAAACACCTAAGTTTCTAATAGAAGTTCTGAATTTAAATCTGGTATTTTCGTAATTTCAATGGACAAGTTCCGCATTACAGTTGAAAATGATCTCCATTCATAACAATTAGAAATTAAAGTAAATTCTCCCCAATTTTATAAAATATGAAGATTTTTCATTGGTATCTACCGTTAAGATTCATTCATTTGGTGACTTCTTCAACATTTTGGCTCAAGCTCCCAAGATGCAGGGCATTTCTTAAGATAAAAGCTCCTTTAAATTTACTTTTCGGTTAATTTTTTCTATTTCTATGCTAATGACTCGTTTTTAACACGATTCCCACATACTCCTACAAAAAATTCCGCAAATATGTATGGATGTACCTTCCCCCATTTATATCTGGATCGGTGGCGAAAAAAGTTTCTGCGATGGCAGCAGACCACAGTAATCCAACAATCTTGGGTGTTGTTTAATGGTTTGTGCAAGTGGCGCGTAGTGGTGGCTCGTCCATAAACATGCCTGCCGCATAAACTTCCAAGCACACACACATACACCGACACGCATACACTATAACGCCCATATAGACGCATGCATGGTTAACAAGATACACTTCCATATGCGTTTATATATTTTGCTGCATACAAAATGTCCATTCTACCAATGTACACTCTCACACACACACAAATATTTAAATGGCTTAAATTACTACACACACATACGCACACTTATGTGCATCGGCTGTAGATAGATATGTACGAAAGAGAGGGTGATGCGTGCCGGAAATGTGGTTTCTGTTAAATCATATTAAACTATTAAGCCAGTAGATATTTTCCAAAAGAGAGCCAACACTATGCCGCCGCCACAAAACTCCACCACTTCACTTCTCGGACCACTGCCGGTTATTCCGAAACAAGAAGAAGCAAAACAACAAAAGGCGTAAAAATACCCGAAACAATCCTTTTATGCCGCACAATTAAATTTAATCCATTTTAACAATTTCTTTTTTAAGCACTTCTTTAGTTCTTGTTCTTGTTGTCATCGTCGTCGTTGTTGTTGTTGTGTTGGTGATGATGATGATGGCGATGGCGTTAGCGATGGCGATGTCGTTGCTGTTTGAAGCAAGTCTCGTGCATTGTGTTTACATTATTCCTCATTTACTTACCCACTTTAACATGTTTATATTATTTTTTTTTTCTTTTTCGGTTTCTCTTTTCTCTTCTTTATTTCCATACAAATTGTATATCCTTGCATATCCTTTGGCGCTTAAAACTCCAACCAATCAACCAAAATTCCCCACAAACGATATTGCATCCACATTCCATCATCTGCAATATTAAATTTATTTGGAATCGAAATTGGCGGAAATGAATGCTCAAAATCAAATTGAAACCATCCAAATTGTTCTGAATCGGGCAACAACATTACAACTGCAAATAAATCTAAACCAAACATAAATACTTACAAACATCCATTTGTACACTGCGGAACAAATGTCCGACGCTTGTTGCTTGCCACCGAATGCTGCATCGCTAAATGTTGACTAACCGTGCAATGCCGCCATGCCTCTTCTAATCGTTTATTGTGAACATATCGATTGTATTCTACTTCTTCTTCTTCTGTTTACTTTTTTTCAACATATCCCTCTTATGTATCTCTTTCTCCATATATATTTCGAAAATCAACTCGAATCAAACCAAACCAAACATAAAATATTTCCAAAATTCCATCAAACCAACCACTCGTTGTGTCTCTCGCCAGGATCGTCAGTTCGTAAGTATACCGAAAGGTTCTACGGAATCACGCACAGATTCGCTGAGTCGCAATTACTCCGCTTCCATTGACATTGCCTTTGGCTAACTTATTTAATTGAATGTTATGGTCACTGTCTCTTATAAATACAAAAACATATTTCTCTCGGTGTATCTACATTTTGTTTTGTGGTCTTCTGTTGAAACTGATCTGACAACTACATATGTGTAAATTTTTGTGAAGAACCTAGTTTATGTTATTAACCGATGTGATTGTCGCACTGTGGCGTCTTCTCTATATAAAATATTCTGTATAACTTGTATGTATGTATGTCCACTTTCATTAACTATCACTAATATTCAAGCATTCGAATTACACACACAAATGCGAAAAAAAAAAATAATAAAATGTAGTCTTGTCTATTAACTATCTCTCGCTCTCTCTCTCTCTCTGCGAACTTCATCGAACGTGTTTGCAATATACAAATTGAAGTTTTTTTATCTCAGCGGAAACCCTGAGAAAAAAACATTATGAATGTTTAAACTTGCAAGCCCTATGGCATAATTACAGAGGATAGTCTCCTTTGCAAAATTCCGAAATTCGAAAAATGTTTGACATACATGGTACTTATCTATCGGTTTAATATGACCTGAATGTAAAAAATTTTATTTAAGGCATGTCTTTTTACTATTTCATTACTAAACGTACTACAAGACGTTCAATCCTTATTCTTGTATAAACAAAACAGGAAACAAAAATGTAATTATACAATTATTTTTTATTAATTTATTTGTTTACATTTTGAAAGTTTATGTTATTTAGTTCTCATAGAGTGGGAAATGTCTTTCGACCGCTATTACCGCACTAAGCGAATAAAACAAATTTCTTGCCAATATTTGTCGAGTTTGGTCCACTTTTTGATATAAAAAAACTGCTAATTTAATAAAGCCGTATCGTTTACGGACTACTTTTTGTTATCAGAGATCAGCCTTTTGATATATTGACATTCTTAAAAACCAAGTATCTCCACAATATTTAACGAAATTTAATGTAAAGACTCACACGTACATACCTTCGGATACTCCCAAGACTGCTGTAAAGTGAGTGGGCACTTAAGGCATACGCGAGGCAAATCTACGAGTTAGTGTTGTCGGGCTAGTTGTTCCTGAGCATGATCGAAAATACAACAATTCATTTAAAACCGAAAATGAAAACTGGACAAAATAAATGGTTAAGACCGTGAATGAAAGGTAGTTAATAGAATATAAATGTCTTAAGAAATACCTTCAGTAATGTATTCTGAGGAATGTCGTACCGGAGAAGCGTAATTTGTTTTTCTGACATTTGTCGTTCAAAACTCAATATTTGTTGTGAATTACAAAAAAAAAAACATTTCTACAAAAATATCGTTATTTTAGAGAAAACAAATGGTCAATGAAAAAAAATTCAAAAATTGGAAAATTTGTATTTTTATTTCCTGAACTCAAATGTATATTGAATATCCTCTGAGATTGTGTCGGAATACAAGAGAGTCGTATAATATAATATTTATTTTCAAAGCGGTATTTATATAAAAACGACATTTTTAAAATATATTTCTCAAATCTTCTCAAACCATGGAGAGACCCTTTAAATCTCTGAGAACTTAATGAAAATAGACATAACAAATGCCACAAATTGTTTTGTTTATTTTACACTTTTCTCGCAATATTTTAACTTGGGAGAAAATCGTGAAAAATGGATAAAATGCCGCTGGTTTTTCACGATATCGAGTTCCTAATACGATTACAATTTTTTTCATAGCAAAGCAAAAAAAAAAATATTCTCTCTTATGTTGTAAATATGAATTTAAATTTCAACAAAATTCGAAAATTTTAAAAATCATTTTGTTTGTTATTTAAAACAATACACAAACACATACAAAATCGGTATATAAGTTTTGACATTACAAGACTACCAAAAGAAAAAAATTTGGAAGTTATTGTACCATGATTGTGTGCATGTTGTCCAAATCTAGTTTATACGCTGGGTGCAAAGATCGTGGACCACGTACGAGATGGTAATAAAAATATTGGCTTCCTTCCACCATTCCTTGTTTCCATTGTCTAATACTCGATTGACATGGATTTACCAAAGGGTTCTTTGTTTTCTCCTCCCTGGCATTTTCTTAATATTTCTACAAAAGAATGATCTCTGAGAATTATGGCATATTAAAGTATACGATGAAAATCGGCCTCGTTAAGACAATTGGAAATTTTAGGCACAACATTTTTTTGCAAATGTGTAAATGTTTAAAAAAAGTGGCTCAGATCTCTCCCCACAAACTTAATTCCATTGTAATTTGATTATATAATTTGGAAATTATATATTTTCACTTAACATCTAAGAATCTCCTATCAACTTTGATTTTTTTAAATTATAATTCGAAATTATTTAGTTGTTACCGTTCTAATTTAATCTTTGTAACTCTATACGTTTAAATATTCTTTATTAGTGAAATTCGGAATTCAAGTGGAATTCTCAAAAAAGGCTCATGCCAAAATGGATAAAAGCAAAAATGCGGCCATATAACCAAGGATTATAAATCCATTCAAATCATCAAAAGTTGTAAAATCTTTTGTAAAAAATATTTGCTTGACAAAATATCCAAAATTCACATGTTTTCAATAATATGTTTCATTTCATATTTTAAATACTTCAATACTTCAATTCAAACAACCGGAAGGCGCACTGTCAAAGTAAAAAAGTATGACTTATTTTGTTCATACGCAATGCGCTTTTAGGTAAGATTCATGTATGACATCTATTTGATTTTCATTGTGAATAAAATATTATTAGCACTTAAGCATTTTGGTAAAGGCAAATGAAAATAATACTTTTCTCTGCCTATTTTCTCTGCTGCTATCGTATTGTAACAGGGCATCAAATCTCAGTAACGCGCCCAGGGACCGGACTACACATGTTGTAGTTGTGAAGATATCATATACGTACGTTTTTGGTACAACAATCAAAAAATACACGAATGGTATCAAAAATTCGATAGAACATTATCTTATTTAGAACTATTTCTAAGTATTGGTTCCCGATTTTTCCCGATTTTCGTGCATCAAAAATGGGTAAACCCTAAAATAATATCTCCCCCAATCTCTTTATATTCGATTTTCCAAAACTCTGTCCTTAAGAAATAAGCAATTATTTTTCAATCATTCTCTTTGGAGCCCTAGCCATATCATCAAGAATTGCAATACAAGAAGTGCATTTGTCATTTCGAAACAATGCACGATAACGATTTTCCAAGTACCATCAAACGAACACATTCCGGAACATGAAAAGGCAACATAGACTTTTCGTTCGATAACCATTTTCCTCTTTTATTTCGATGCCACGGTCAAGAACGGTATTCAACGACTAACCATGATAAAATTTGCCCATACTAAGCATTAAATACGCCACCACCATGCAATTAACCCACACTAACACAATTTCAAGTAACAGCAGACACGCACGTACGCACTCACAGACACATTAATCCACTCCGGCATTTTGTTAGTAGTATGTTTGTAGTTGTTACCCCGAAACACACACGCACACACACACATTTTGTCGAATGTTTGAAACCAAAAAAACAAAAAAAAAAAATCAAAACCAAATTTGAAACTTACGTTGATGCTTGAACTGAAAATCAATTCTGCAGCTATGTAACTGGCTCGCCGACTCGACTTGTGTCGACCCTAATAACGATGATTTTCTTTCTTCCCTTTCTCTTCTTTGTTTTCGTTTTACATTTGGAAATCTATTTCGCACAGGGCAAAGGTACTGGATCCGGCCATAGGACACTGCTCTATGGCAATGCTATACTGTTGCGTCACAACAACAGTGACATGGTAAGATCACATCTACACTCACACACATACACATACATAGATAGACACTTTAACGAAATCCATGACAATTGAATTGATACCTTATCTTTTTGGTCGTTTGTCCTTTCCGTCGTTCATTCGTTCGTTGGTTCGTGGTGGTGCTTCTTGTGGCATCGTTGTTCTCTCCTACGTCGACGTCTGTGATAACCACAACAAATACAACAACGATGGCACCAACAGTACCTGGCTTGTCTTTCGACATCATCGTCCAACGACAAATTATCCTTCGACGTCGGTCTGCAAGAGCACAGTCAAGGCGAGGCATGCTGGTGGACCGTGCATCCGGCCAGCAAGCAGCGTTCCGAGGGCGAGAAGGTGCGCGTGGGTGACGACTTGATTTTAGTTTCAGTGGCAACCGAACGTTATTTGGTAAGCTAAGCTCGTCGGGATTACGTGTAAGTCAAGCCATGTGCTTTATTAAATTTCTCATTTCTCTGACGTTTGGGCGGTGAGTGCAGCATACGACCAAGGAGAACGAGCAATCAATTGTCAATGCCAGCTTCCATGTAACACACTGGTCAGTGCAACCCTATGGCACTGGCATATCACGCATGAAATATGTGGGCTATGTATTCGGCGGCGATGTTTTGCGATTCTTCCACGGCGGTGACGAGTGTCTAACCATACCCAGTACATGGGGGCGAGAGGCGGGGCAAAAGTAAGTACAAAGAAGATATAGTCACAGTGACATTTGCAATATCGACAAATAAGTTGCGACAAAAATGTGAAAATTCAAATGTATTGTTTTTTTTTTTCATTAATTTTTAAAAAGTAAGACATCCACAAAACGTCGGCGTAACAGCAATCTGATGAGAATGAACAATTGCCGGTATTTTGTATTTATTACAATACCAAAAGTAAGTTCGGCCGGGCCGAACTTTGAATATCCTCCACCAGTTGGACCGAATTTGGCAATTCTCAAAAACAATAAAATCCTGTTAAAATCTTAAAAATACCGAATGTAGCTATTATATTAGGGTCTATTCCGCGACATGAACCTGCGTAAGTAACATTTGTCATAAGCCATTACAATATTCAAATGCGAAACTTAAAAAAATCGGTTATAATTTGATAAAATCAAAATACCGAATATCGGGAGGTACCGTTATATGGGGGCTATACGAAGACATGGACCTGCACAGACACTTTTCTGTCATAGGCTGTAGTATTCATTACGAACTTCAAATACCAAATTTGAAACAATTCATCAAAATACCGAATATCGGGAGGTACTGTTATATGGGGGCTATACAAAAATGTGGACTTACATGGCCCATTTTCAATACCAAAAGTCCTGCAGATATAGCATACATTTCAGCAAAATTGTATCAATCTACTTCAATTCGTTCGGAAGCTAGAGTGATTTCCACAGACGGAAAGACGGACGGACATGGTGGAGGGTATAATAAGGAGTTAACAATTTTGAGTATAACGCGAATTTAAAAAAAATTCTTTTTATAATAAGTTTCTCCGCAAAAGCATTTTTTGTCAATACGTCTCTTGGAAAATGTAGTTTTGTTTTAGAAATTAGAAAACTGCAAGATTAAAATAAAGAATATGTACTTCTTGTAGGCCTTAATCCAGATTAAATTTTGTACATTTAAGTTATTAAGCACATCATTCACTGAACTTTATCTGTTCATGTTGAAATGGACCAAAAACAGAAGTTCCTCTAGAGGTCACAATTATAGACCTATCGAACCGCAATTTTGCATGGGACTTGAGGTTTGAGCTGGGCAGAAGCTTACCGATTTGGTCACCGAATCAAATTTAGCGGATGAAATAGACCATAACTTTTATATAAAAATACGGAAATTTATATTAAACCGCGAATATTTTTAATTCCAGTGAAATCACAAATACACCAAAAGTTTACTTACATTGATTCCGATATCCAAGATACCGCATATATATACAGGGTGAAATAAAAAAAACTGCAACAAAGTACAACGCCATAATTTTTACATTTTTTTTTTAATTTTATTGAATGAAAGCATAAAATGTCGGAAATAGCATCAAATTTTAGAAGAAGTTTAGATTTCTTCGAATTGGTCAGCTTTGCCACGAATTATGGCCTTCAAACGGCTGAAACGAATATTGCTCTGCGTTATTTTGGCCCATTCCCGGCTAAGCGCTTGCTTGAGGTGATAGACACTTTGGTAGTTTTTAGTGCCAACCTTGGTTTCCAAAATACTCCAGACATAATAGTCCGGAGATTTTGGTGGCCATTGTGAGCTGGAAATTAAGCGAGGAACCTTATTTTGTAACCATTCTTGGGTGGCGCGTGCTGAGTGCGATGGTGCTGAGTTCTGTTGGAATGTCCAAGGTCTGGGACCAAAATGTTTGCGTGCCCAAGGCTTTAATACACCCTCCAGAATATTTTCGCAATAATGTTCGGCATTTATTCTTCGAAGCGGAGAGGGACCATCTTCTGTTAAGGCGGCCAACACCATCACCATGGCCGGCGCTTGAGTTCTGGTGGCCAACCGAAGGTGCACATTTTCAGCTGACCTCTTTGGCAAGTAAACACGATCATGTTGTTTGTTTACAAACTGCTGGACATCGGAGAAAACCAAATTCGGCAGTTCGCCAATTTCGGCCAAGCGGAGCAACGTTTTGACTCTTTTGAGTCTATTTTCTTTCAATTGCGGTGTAAGTTTTTGCACTTTTTGGAATTTCAATGGCTTTACCCCGGGCTCATTTTTCAACATTTGCCGATATGTTCAGCTCACGAGCAATTTTTCGGGCAGTGCGACAGGTTTCGATCAAGTCGCTTCTTTACATTTCGAACCATTTCTGTTGATGTTGCTGTTTTCTTCCGTCCACGTCTTTGACGTCGGATTACGCTACCAGTATCACGGTAACGAGCGATGGTACGAGACACAAACGATTTATTCACATTTAAATACTGGAGTGCTCTAACGATAGACACTTGTGGTTTTCCAGCCAAATATAAAGAAATCACATTATCACGCTTGAATTCCATCACGAATAACTTTTTTTCTGGAAAATTTTCACCTAAATGCTTTTGTACGCTTGTAAACAATATAATGAGCTATCACTGGAATAATTTTAACAGCTGTCGGACGAGTGGCTTGGAATTGACAGCAGTCTGAAGTTGTTAAGAAGTTAGTAGTTTTTTCACCTCACCCTGTATATATGCAATATGCCGGTCCACAGCTTCTGGTACCACTGTCTTCAAAACCAACTGATAAATAATATAACCTTAATATAACCTTAAAAATATAACCTTAACACCCGGGGAAGATATGAAAAGCTCGAAAAGCCAAGTTGGAAATGTAACTCATTTCTGGACCAACTACCAACTAATATGTAGACAAAAGCCAGTGCAGAGTTCATTGATTTATTGGTTTGTTGATTTATTCGCAAACAATTAACGAAATTCCGCCTGACGATTACTGGGAAGTATTCTTCTCTGAGGTTATCAAAGTCCTACTCCCCTTCACTACTTCATACCCATGGTACAATAAGAAGGTAGAACAGCTTCGAAATATGAATGAAATACCTGGATGTTCTCTCGAAAATATGATCCTAAGTGTTCAATCTTTCAATTCCGTGGAAAAACTGGTTAATATCATTAATGCGCGCCCCGCAATTTAAGTTTCTTCCAATCATTGATTTTGAAAATATTTTGCTTTAAAACAATAAATACACACACAAAATTGGCAGAAGTCGGGCACACTTAGAAAAAAATTGTAATCAGCTGATAGCTCTACCTTACCATTTTATTGTACCATGTTCAAACGTATATGAGGCCTAATGGTCAATGATATCACTAGTTTTTATATGTATTTTTTTAAGCAGCCAATAGGTGGGTCGCCATTTTTAATTTGGTTAGGTGGGTCGCAACGCCGTAAAGTTTGGGAACCACTGCCTTAAGAGGTCCACGAGATGAAGTTATCGTAGTTTGTTCGTATGTGTGCTTAGCTTCATATTCTGAAGCTGGCTCTTAATTAAATTAACATGGATACGAAATTAATATTTACCATCACCTCCTCTTTTCAGCATTGTGGTGTACGAAGGTGGGTCAGTCATGTCTCAGGCCCGTTCATTGTGGCGCTTGGAATTGGCACGCACCAAATGGACTGGCGGATTCATCAACTGGTTCCATCCCATGCGAATTCGACACATAACAACTGGACGCTATTTGGGCGTCAACGACAATAACGAATTAATTTTGGTATGAATGCCGCCGCTGGCGATCCATGGTCGCCTATTTCAGCAACACACTTACAAAACCCCCATTTCTACCACAGGTCAAAAAGGAAGAAGCATCCATTGCTACAACGACTTTCTGTCTCAGACAGGAAAAGGACGACGAGAAAAAAGTACTCGAAGATAAGGATTTAGAAGTGATCGGCTCACCGATCATCAAATACGGCGATACCACCGTCATTGTACAGCACTGTGAGACTAGCCTGTGGCTCAGTTACAAGAGCTACGAGACAAAGAAGAAGGGCGTCGGCAAGGTCGAGGAGAAGCAAGCCATTCTGCACGAAGAAGGCAAAATGGATGATTGCCTGGATTTCTCGCGCTCCCAGGAGGAAGAATCAAAAACTGCTCGCGTTATTCGCAAATGCAGCAGTCTCTTTACACAATTTATTAAGTAAGTCTCCACGACTGCGCATGTCGAATCAAGATTTAAAAACTATTAATCCATGTCTTTCAAATGACTTCTAGTGCTTTGGAAACCTTACAGAACAATCGTCGTCATTCAATCTTTTTCCAAAAAGTAAATCTCAACGAAATGGTTATGTGCCTTGAAGATTTGATCAACTACTTCTCTCAACCCCCCGACGATATGGGTGAGTAATTTGCAATCTTCATACGTATGTATGTGTCACGCCTGTATTGAATTTGTTTTCATTTCTCTTCCAATGAACAGAACACGAGGAGAAACAGAATCGTTTTCGTGCCTTGCGCAATCGCCAAGATCTCTTCCAAGAGGAGGGTGTCTTAAATCTTATTCTCGAAGCCATTGATAAAATCAATATAATCACCTCGCAGGGCTTCCTGGCCAGCTTTTTGGCCGGCGATGAGATGGGTCAAAGCTGGGATCTGATCTCTACATATCTTTACCAACTGTTGGCTGCCATTATTCAAGGCAACCACACAAATTGTGCCCAGTTTGCCAATAGCAATCGTCTGAATTGGTTGTTCTCCCGCTTGGGTTCCCAGGCCTCCAGTGAGGGCTCCGGCATGTTGGACGTATTGCACTGTGTGCTGATTGATTCTCCCGAAGCCTTGAATATGATGCGGGACGAACACATTAAAGTGATCATTTCCCTTTTGGAGAAACACGGTCGCGATCCAAAAGTCTTGGATGTCCTGTGTTCCTTGTGTGTGGGTAATGGCGTGGCAGTGCGCTCTTCGCAGAACAACATTTGCGATTTTCTGCTTCCCGGCAAGAATTTGCTGCTGCAAACGCAATTGGTGGACCATGTGGCCAGTATTCGTCCGAATATTTTTGTTGGACGCGTAGAGAACTCCGCCATGTACCAGAAGTGGTATTTTGAAGTAACCATGGATCACATCGAACAAACCACTCACATGATGCCGCACTTGCGTATTGGTTGGGCCAATACTGCGGGGTAAGGACGAACGCACTGCACATCGCACAGAGTCACTGATACCATTTGTACTATTTTTCCAGCTACGTCCCATATCCAGGTGGTGGCAAGAAGTGGGGTGGTAATGGCGTTGGTGATGATTTGTACTCATTTGGCTTTGATGGGGCTTACTTGTGGACCGGAGGTCGTAAAACGCTTGTCACCGATGTTATCCCTGAAGAGCCCTATATTCGCAAAGGCGATGTAATTGGAGTTACCATTGATTTGTCGATCCCCATCATTACCTTTACATTTAATGGACTTAAGGTTAAGGGATGCTTCCGCGACTTTAACCTCGATGGCATGTTCTTCCCCGTTATGAGTTGTTCTTCCAAGCTAAGGTAAAAAATCCGAAGTGAGTTTCGTATTGGGTGCAAACTAACGTAACTTGATATTTTCTCAGTTGTCGTTTTCTGTTCGGAGGAGATCATGGTCGCTTGAAATTTGCTCCACCACCGGGATTTTCCCCTCTCGTACAATGTTTAATGCCACATCAAATTTTAAGTTTGGATCCTTGCTTCTATTTCGGAAATCTAACCAAAAACGTCTTGGCTGGACCCTGGATGATAGAGGACGATACAGCCTTTGTGCCCAATCCAGTGGATACATCGGGTGTAACTCTTCCATCTTCCGTCGATCAGATAAAGGAGAAACTTGCCGAAAATATCCATGAAATGTGGGCTCTAAACAAGATTGAAGCTGGTTGGTCGTGGGGCGAACACCGCGATGACTATCATCGCATACATCCATGCTTAACGCAGTTCGAAAAGTTGCCACCTGCGGAGAAACGTTACGATAACCAGCTAGCAGTACAGACACTGAAGTAAGAAAAGCTGAGTTTTATTTGTTTTATGGTATAAATAGTTTTGACAATTAGTTTTAATTTTCGGAATTTCCTTTACACCTGAATTAAAAAAAAAAAAACATCTGTCTTGAGATAAATATCTTTGCTCCGAATCTTTGGAAAAAAGGAAAACTTAACCTTATTTTAATTTTCAGAACCATTATTGCTTTGGGCTATTATATTACAATGGACAAGCCTCCGGCTCGTATTAGACCCATTCGCTTGCCCAATGAAATATTTATGCAAGCCAATGGCTATAAGCCAGCTCCCTTGGACCTTAGTGCAGTTACGTTAACGCCCAAGCTTGAAGAACTTGTGGATCAATTGGCTGAAAATACACACAACCTTTGGGCCAGAGAACGCATTCAACAGGGTTGGACATATGGTCTCAACGAAGATTCGGAAAATTTGCGTAGTCCCCATCTAGTTCCCTACTCCAAGGTAGACGAGGCTATTAAAAAGGCAAATCGTGACACAGCGTCAGAAACTGTGCGCACACTTTTGGTCTACGGTTATGTTCTCGATCCACCCACCGGCGAAGGAAATGAGGCTCTCCTAGCTGAGGCTTTGCGTCTGAAGTTTGCGGCCTTCAGGACATATCGCGTGGAGCGTAATTATGCCGTAACATCGGGTAAATGGTATTTTGAATTCGAGGTTCTCACTTCTGGACCAATGCGCGTTGGTTGGGCCAGAGCGGACTGCAACCCTGGTGCTATGTTGGGCAGCGAAGACACCAGTTGGGCATTTGATGGTCACAACGTAAGTATGAACAATCGAAGTCATTACGAAACCTCTGAAATCGCAATGGTATATTACATGGTCAAATGAAATTATTATAAACGGCAGAGCGTCAGGTGACATTAAATAATTTATAAAAAAATAGATAGGGTGGATTCTTTTAAACTATAAAAAGGATTCATCATTGGGAGACAAATAGAAGAAAATCTCTACAAGTCTCCCTTAATCAAACTCCGGAATTATGCATCAAAACCTCACTGTTGTCTTTATTACAGGCGAACACGACAGTAAACTTATAATAAAATGTACGACACTTGTAGTTAATTTTACAGCTTCAACTATATTTTATGAGAGATCTAAGGAAAAAAACCTGTTCAAGCGTACCTGATTTGAAATCTGGAAGAGCATTTGGCGGTTATTCACACGGGAGTACTCCCGTGTCTGGAAAGTTCAATTATTAAAACCACCACTAGAGTTGTTCTACACATGGCATTAGAAACATATGGAAAGTGAATTTTATATCTTACATTTTATGGCAAACCTTAGAAAGCTCTCAACAATTTTATAATTTAAAAGTATATATTATGATTCGCTATAAATACCATTGTGTGTTAATTATTCCATACATAAATATAGCATAAAGCATTTCTTGTTAGATTCTGGAGAGCATCTAAAAGTATGCTTTAAAAATGCTTAAGATAATTGTGGACAAAGTCACTTTACATGTGACTCCAACATCATGTGTAATCTAGCTTTTACCATTGTAGAATAATACAGATAGTCGCATATACACATCTGCTGGGACAACAAATTATCAAACCAATTTTGGAATTGAAGTTTTTGAATGAAAATGTATTCAAATTTTAAAAAATTGCTTAGAAAATTCATATTATTCCAACCTCCAATTGGCGTCGTGTAGGAAAACATAAACAAATCTACTTTTTGGGAAAAACCATTAAAACATTTTTGACTTATCAATGTTCCTGTATTATTCTACCATGGCCTTTACGTAGGAACACAGGATTGAACGAATTATTGAAAAAAAGCATATTCAAGAGTCTGGCCAGTCATGTTAATTTTAGTTCACTGAACTTATCTGAAATATAGACAAGACCAACTGTCTTGATTTGCATTTCACTACCCCATTCATACTGAGCTGATGGTTTTACTTATTTCTCTAAGAGAGTAAAAGCTTTATAATCGATATTTGATCTCTTTTCATACAAAGCCTTAAGTAAGCAACAGTTTATTTTCTATGATTTTTAATAATTCTAATCAAAAAGTAAAATAAAAAATCGATTATATCTGTTGACACCAACAACACATAAAAATCAAAAGCACAGTGAAAAGGTGTTCCTGCCAATTTTGAAAACCAGATGTAATGTCAAAATCTGATAAGACATTTTGGCTACTGGCTATCTTTTTTTTTCCATAAAATTCAATCACAATAATGTATTTCGACATTAAAGTTGGTAGTCAACTGGCTTAGAAGGAGTGAAGCGAAAATTGATTTTTTCCTGAAGTTAAGAGATTGAAAGTCCCCTTTTTTTGGTAGAAGACAAAAGTCGAAACCTCGATTTGTTATCTCTAATTTACTTATCGCTTTCATCTTAGTCAGACTCGATTATTCAGCTACTAACTCATCATCACCCATATCCCTGACATAGATCTCACGTTTATAATAATTTCACTTGACTTGATATTATGTTTAAATGTTTCTCCTTACGCAACGAATTTATACCCGCCCAATACAAAAACATAGGTGACCAAAATACATGCCGGATCCGTGGAACACTTCGGTGTTCGTTATGAAGCAGGAGACGTTATCGGTTGTTTTATCGATGTCAAGGAACAAACCATCAGTAAGGACACAAACCATGCCATAACTAGAGCATTTATGCTGCGAACGTTTTCTTTTATTTACAAATACAAATTTCATTTCTGCTGCGTTTGACTAATTTTCGTTACACACGTTTCTGATTTCTGATTTTTATTGTAACATAACTTGCGTTCTTCTTTTATTTAACTTGCGGGCGTCGTGTTACAAACTGTTCACAAGGCGGTCGTGTATTCGCTCGGTTGTGTTCAAATGTTATAGCATTTTTTCTTTGGCGTATTTGTATACAGACTATAATATCAACGTTTAGCCTGAAATAATTCATGATTATCACCAACATTTACATATATTTACAAAATATTCATATATATTTATATTTTTCGCATTTGTATTTTATTGTGATTTTATTGAGATTTGTTCAGCACTTCTAAAGGCAAAATTATTTTATGTATGCAGGAAGAGAAGGTTTTTGGCGGCGTAAGTGAATCGTTTGGTAAACAATGCGGTCCCGGCGACATAGTTGGTGTCTTCTTAGATCTCGCCGATCACACAATCAGTAAGAAATCAGCCATTCAAGAATAAAAACCAATCCCTATCAACTCAACACCAAGTGTAGCGAATGTGTATTTCACTCCATGTCCTGACACAAACCTATCCTCAGCTTTTGATATCTACTAAATTGAATTTAAAATTTATTATTTTTTCATAAATTGAATAGAAAGTTTTACTATTTTGACATTAACAAGAATATATGTATCGAAGACAGCTTCGGTGCCATAGAATCAAGATGAGAGGGAAAAGTCGCTTTAGATAAAACTTCCAAAGAGTATCGTAAAATATGACCACATATTCTTGAATAGACTGTAGTTGGGGTCCAGCTGCCACCAGTATAAGAATATAAGCATATATATTGCTTATTTGTTTCATTATTAATACATTTTCTAATTTTGAAAATAAGGTCTATTTTTTAAGAACATGCAAAAAATATATGGCACCTGCACACAAATTATGTGTCATTTGCCCCTTCTTGGTACAATTTTCTGTAAAATAATTAAATTGAAAGGTCAGTACAGTTATAAGTGAAAGCGTTGTAGTCAATTATAATATGCCAATAAACACGTACAGTATTCAAATTATCATTATTATAAAAAACAAATCAAATGGATTGTTTTTAATCGATTGATAAGAGATAGGTGCAGACTGTTGAGATTAGGCGTGATTTTTTAAATGCGTATTTCAAGAGTGCGAGAAGTACTAAAGATATAACATTTTTTGATCGATTAGAAAGACATAGAATTTTAAAAGTTTGCATAAGGGAGGCTCTTTTTTAAATTCATACTTTTCCGATAGCAAAGTACTAAAAGATCCAAAAATGGAACACAACTTTACTGAACGGTCGTTATAAGCTAGAGTTATAAAATTTCAGGTAGGGATCGGTCTTGGATGTTCTTCGATTGTGAGACATTATTATAAAGCGATCAGTCAGCATTGTAACTTCGTGTCGTGCGAACTTTAAAAACCCTCTATCTAGGCCAAATAAAAAAGGTCGAGCACGAAAGAAAACTCTACAAAATTCAAAACTTGGATAGAACCTATTTCAAACTCTTAGTAACGAATTTTACACAATTCCGTTAAGAAATATGGCTATTATTATCAGGATACCGAATGTCGTGAGGTATGATTATATGAGGGTCCAACATGCTCCATTTGCGAACTTGCTCTGTATTGTGATTATTTCGAGAATTTACAAACAGAGTGACAAAGTTAACATTCCTCCCATTTTTTAAACATTATTATTTCAATACAAGTTTCCTTAGATTTAAAAAAGAAATATATTCAAAATGGAAGAATAATCAAAATAAGCAACACACCAAAAAGAAGTTAAAAAAGTACAGGAAATGTACGTTCACATTTCTATAAAAACCTAAAAAAAGCTGATTACTTTTTTTTCTAAGTGTGCCCAACATTTGCCAATTATGTGTATGTATTTTTTTTTTGTTTTGTATTGAAATTTTAAACAAAATATTAGTTGCATATAATAACAATTCTGACAGGAAGCGGCCATAGCCTCGAGGCTGCATTTTTGTAGTTTTATAAAACTGTTCCACCTCCTTATTGTACCACGATTAAAAGAAGAATTAGCGGCACGTGAACGGCTTGATTTGTAACATTATTCTGAAAGCGAACAGTGCGGTTTAAATTAAAAACCAATGAAAAACCAAACTAGCAACTGCATTATATTAGATGCCATGATACAATGAATTCAAGGTAGGGCAGAACTACCATATGATTTCATTTTTTTATTTTTCTGGCTTAATATGTCAACTTAATTTGTTTATGTGTGCGTATTCTTTTCAATAATAAAAAAATTTTCAGAAAATATTCAAATTCGGGTGTTTTCAAAATGCTTATTACAACATATGCATCGAAAAAATCTACAGTTTTTGTCGCGAAATAAACCATAAGAGATATATAGAATATGATTTTGAAAAAAAAATTTGAACTATCATTCAGTTTTCGCGGTTTTAAATTATTTATTCAAAATCAATGCAACAAGTTGTTTGCTTTTTTATTGTTTTGATAGTAATTTTGACATTACAAGCCAAACAGGTAGACCTCTATACTTGCAATTTTTTCAAAGTTGACCTACCTTCTCTTCATTGTACCATATTAGATGCTATGTTGCCTACAAAATTCGATAATTACCGAATATATAAGCAAAAGAATAAATTTGCTATTATCGCTCCTATTATGTCAAAACATATACACAGTTTGTATATGTGTGTGTGCATGTTTTGAATTAAAAAGAAAATAATTGGAAATTATTTCAAATTCAGTTGCAACAAAAATGCATATTTTTCAAGTAAACGGGCAACAAAATGTATTATTCCATTCATATTTCTATGGGTTTCCCCAATATACAGGGTGAGATAAAAAAAACTACAAAAAATACAAACGCTATAATTTTATTTATTTTTTTTTTTTTGAATTTTATTGAATGAAAGCAAAACAATTTTGGAAATGGCATCAAATTTGGCTTGGAAATGACAACTGTCTGAAGTTGGTTGTAGTTTTTTCAACTCACCCTGTAGTAATTTTGTGAAAAACTAAAATAAACAAAACCAATTGTTGCAAATTTAAAAATACATTTGTCAATACAAGACTCCGGTACAGAGTTGCATTTTCTTTCTTTCTTCGAAGTTAAGAAACTCATTTTTTGAGTTACCGACAAAAGTCGGTAAAATTAAAATGTTTATATTTTGGGTATTTAACGTTAAGTTAGCGATGGAATTATAAACCTTCCGATAAATACCAATGTTGTCAACTTTAAATTCTTTTTTATGTAAAAATTCTGAGTTTCAAAGTTACCGATTTTTGAGAGAATCCCTCTACTGCTGATGTGCGATTCTCTAACTAGTTAACAATAGCATTAACCACAATTATCAATAACAGCACAATTGCCTACTTTTTCGACAATTAACGAAACGTGTCATTATACTAGCTACGAATTTGAATTAGTCCCTGAGACCTATCGATAGGAACAATATTTACAACCATCAGTACATTTTAGAAATGAAAATATTTTAACGGCAATAGCAAATTTCACACTTTCTGAAAAACAGTGCAGATACTTTTCTTCCTGACATCTAATGTGTACCAAAGGTTGTAGATTCCTTCTCTTCCAGATAGACTGTTTCTATTATAGAAAATATAGAATAGAATCATTAAATTACAAATCTTTTTGAAATGTGTAGGGTCAGTTTATATTTACCAGAAGTTATTGAAAAAACAAAAACAAGCCCCTAACACGTCTGTCAAAAACCGTACATTCTCCCACCTCCCGCTGGAAATTGTTAACCAACACCAACGAATATTTCAAATCACCAGCATCTATTTAACAATTTCTTATTTATTTTTGAGCATGTTCTTCCTAAGTTTTTGCTTTTGTTGCCAACTAACACAGCTAATGCCAATACAAACCAAAAAAATAAATAAATTAATAAAAAAAATTGTCCACAACTAAACCAGACTTAGTACAAAAACGTTCATCACCAAATTCGAAACATTCAAACCCAACCGAAATTATTTTGGCTAATTGAAACTAATCTGTTCTTGAGAACTACAGTATGTGTATAACATGAGCATGAACGAAACTAATAACGGCATATAACACTGCTTATACTGTTACTTGTATATAGCTATTGTTTAGAGACATGTACAAGCATTTTAGCGTTTTTTTAATTCGCCCACACAAGTCTGTGACTGGCCACTTCTAATGTCTCGACCAATGATTGTAGGTTTCTCGTTGAACGGTGAGCTGTTGATGGACGCTCTGGGCGGTGAAACCACATTTGCCGATGTTACGGCAGAGGGTGTCGGATTTGTACCGGCCTGTACCTTGGGAGTGGGCCAAAAGGCTCGCCTTATCTATGGTCAAGATGTGGATTCTCTGAGGTTCTTCACCACATGTGGTCTGCAAGAAGGCTACGAACCTTTCTGTGTGTAAGTTTCTACAACATTTGCATCGATTTGCCTCGGATTATGAGCTCATCTTTTTGTAGGAATATGCGGCGACCAGTAACCCATTGGTATACCAAAGATCAACCGATTTTCGAAAATACCGAGGAAATGCCCGATTGTCGCATTGATGTTACCCGTATTCCGGGCGGATCGGACACACCGCCACATCTCAAAATATCTCACAACACATTCGAGACCATGGAAAAGGCCAATTGGGAGTTCTTACGTCTCTCACTCCCTGTAACATGCATGGGCGAATTCATTAGCGAAGCCGAAAAGGCCCGGCGCTGGGAAGAGATTAAAATGCGGCAATACCGTCTAATGCGCGAGGCCCAAGAAATTGCCCAGCAACAGACCTCGGCGCACATGGATCACATGCTGAAGAGCGGATTCTCAATGAACGACATTAAGGGTTTGAATCGAAACTACGATGACACGGCCGAGGCGGACGAAAACATGGCCAGGAGTCCAGCCAGGCCACCGCGCAGGGCTTCGATGACCCGCAACATTACATTCGAATCGGATTTGGGCGTGTCAGAGGAACTGCAACGATCCACGTCTGCGCTCGACATGAACGGCATTGAGGATGGTGGCGCAATGGACGATAAGAAAAAGCGTGGCCGTAGTCCGTTCAAGTTCTTCTCGAAAAAGACACGCGACCAAAGTAAGGACAAGCTACCCGGCAGAGCTCCGGAAGTAAGTCCGGAGAGACGCACTGCTATGACGCAAGGTCGTAGCGCTGCCGCTTCCCAACTAACAGCCAAGGCTCCGTCTTTGCGTTTAAACAATGTAAGTAGCCGCAGAACTTTCTCTCTCCACTCCGATGGATTGAATAACCGATTGATTTCTTCTTGCAGACGGAAATGCCCCAAACTCCTACTCAGGGACCTAAGGCCTTGAGTGGCGGCAATTTGGGCCAGCCTGCCGTTGAGTCTTCGGGCGACGAGATGTTTGACGCCGAGTGCCTCAAACTGATCAACGAATACTTCTATGGTGTGCGCATCTTCCCCGGTCAAGACCCCACACACGTCTATGTGGGTTGGGTAACAACACAGTACCACCTGCATAGCAAAGAGTTCAACAAAGATAAAGTTCGTCGGGGTTCGGTCATCATTGAGGATGACTACGAGATGCCGATTGAGCGCATTAACCGACAGAGTTGTTATGTGGTGCGCGCTGACGAACTGTTTAACGAAGTCACACAGGATGCCTCCGGCAAGGGGGCTTCGCAGGGCATGTTTGTCGGCTGTTTCGTAGATACCGCCACCGGCATGATAAGTTTCACCTGCGAAGGCAAGCCAACATCGCATCGTTGGCAAATGGAGCCCAACACTAAACTCTTCCCGGCGATTTTCGTGGAAGCGACCAGCAAGGAAATTCTGCAAATTGAATTGGGTCGCACAGCCACTACACTGCCACTCTCTGCTGCTGTACTGCCGACCAGCGATAAACATATCAACCCCCAATCTCCACCTCGTCTAAAGGTGCAATGTCTGCGACCCCACCAGTGGGCTCGCGTACCAAACACAGCCCTTCAAGTTCATGCTCTAAAGCTTTCCGATATTCGCGGTTGGTCCATGTTGTGTGAAGATCCGGTCTCCATGTTGGCCCTTCACATACCCGAAGAGGACCGGTGCATCGACATTCTGGAACTGATCGAAATGGACAAGCTGTTATCCTTCCACGCTCACACGCTGACCCTGTATGCCGCTCTTTGCTATCAGTCGAATTATAGGGCGGCTCATGCTCTGTGCCAGCATGTCGATCAAAAACAACTGCTGTACGCCATACGCTCCGAATACATGAGTGGACCCCTGCGCCAGGGATTCTACGATCTGCTGATCGCATTGCATTTAGAATCACATGCTACCACAATGGAGGCCTGCAAAATGGAATACATCATCCCCCTGGGGCCCGAGTTGAAATTCCTTTACGACGACGAAGAAATGCGTCATTCGCTCAGGTCGCTGGTTACCGAATCAGTTCGGCCACAGATGCGAATGACGGAAATAACGTGAGTATTAACACAGTGGAAACCTGGGTACAGGTTGCCTCCTACGTACTCTTGAGTCTGTCAGTCGGTATTCGTACCCTGGCTTTTTGTTTCATTCCAAAAGTTTCTCTTGCCATACTCAGTGAATCATTTTTGTACCCTTCACTATTGTATCTATCTACATATGTATGTGTGTTCTTTCTCTCTGCCTTTGCATGCCCTTCGCCATCAACCATACACAACAACCATGCAATTATTCTGTTACGCCCGTCACCCCCTTTCCCATCGTATGTGCATTCTTGATGTAGTCCTATAAGTATCCAAACAAATGCTTCCAGTGAACCAATACCAGACATCGATCACCTGTACTCCCCGAAATTCCCCCTAGAAGTAGTGCGCGAGTTCGTCATGGAAGCGTTGAAGGAAGCGGTGGAGATCAACCAGGTCCATAATAGAGATCCCATCGGCTGGACCAATGAGAATCTATTCCTGTAAGTTCGATCGTTTTCCCAAGGTCTTCTCGACTAACATGCTTTATTGGTGCGTTTTAGGCCACTGCTGAAGCTAACCGATCGTCTATTTCTTGTCGGAGTTATGACCGATGAAGACGTCCAAAAACTATTGGTGATGATCGATCCCGAGACCTGGGACCCATCTTTCGAAAAGGGTAACTATGAAGCTCTAGTGTGAAAAGTTTTCAGTCACGAGAAAAATGTTTCTTTTATTTTCGTGCATTTCAGATGGAAAGGATGAGCACCGCAAGGGCTTGCTTACTATGAAGATGGCCGAAGGTGCCAAGTTGCAGATGTGCTATCTACTGCATCATCTCTACGACATCCAGCTGAGACATCGCGTGGAAAGCATAATTGCATTCTCACATGACTTTGTGGGCGATCTGCAAGCAGATCAGCTGCGTCGTTACATTGAAATCAAACAATCTGACCTTCCAAGTGCTGTAGCAGCCAAAAAGACGAAGGAGTTCCGTTGTCCGCCTAGAGAACAAATGAACCAAATCCTATGCTTTAAGAATTTAGAACCAGACGACCATGAAAATTGCACTTGCGGTCTGGAGTTGCGAGGAAGTTTGTACGATTTTCATGACAGTCTCATGAAGAAGGTGTCTTTGAACGCTTTGCAGGAGCCCGACGAAGCGGAGAGCACTGCGGTCGAAGAAGTGAAAACGGGACCAATCACAAAGATATACAACTTTATTAACACGGTGAAGGAACTTGAAGAGGGCCCCAAAGAAGTTGAGGAACCCGAGAAGAAGACTCCCGAAGAAGTGTTCCGCAAAGTTTTGATCAAGACCATTGTGAGTTGGGCGGAGGAATCACAAATCGAGACCCCCAAATTGGTCCGTGAAATGTTCAGCCTACTCGTGAGGCAGTACGACACGGTGGGTGAATTGGTGAGAGCTCTTGAAAAAACGTACGTAATCAATAACAAGGCCCGCGATGATGTTGCTGAAATGTGGGTTGGTTTGAGCCAAATCCGTGCGTTGCTTCCTGTCCAAATGAGCCAGGAGGAGGAAGAGTTGATGAGGAAGCGATTGTGGAAATTAGTCAACAATGCTACATTCTTCCAACATCCGGATTTGATACGCATTCTGCGCATCCACGAGAATGTGATGGCTGTTATGATGAACACTCTTGGGAGACGAGCTCAGGCCCAAAGTGATGCCCCGGCCCAACAGGAGGGAATGGAGGGAGCCCCACCCAAGGAGAAGGACACTTCGCACGAGATGGTGGTGGCTTGCTGTCGTTTCCTCTGCTACTTCTGCCGAACTGGACGACAGAATCAAAAAGCCATGTTCGACCACTTCGACTTTTTGCTGGACAACGCCAATATTCTGTTAGCGAGACCCAGTTTGCGCGGATCCACACCTCTGGACGTGGCATACTCGAGTTTGATGGAGAACACAGAATTAGCTCTGGCCTTAAGAGAACACTATCTGGAAAAGATTGCCGTCTATCTGTCGCGATGCGGTCTGCAGAGCAACTCTGAATTGGTTGAGAAGGGATACCCCGACTTAGGTTGGGATCCCGTTGAGGGCGAGCGCTATTTGGACTTCCTACGCTATTGCGTATGGGTGAATGGTGAAAGTGTCGAAGAGAATGCCAACCTTGTCATTCGTCTTCTTATCCGTCGTCCAGAATGTTTAGGGCCGGCTCTAAGAGGAGAAGGGGAAGGTCTATTCCGAGCCATTGTTGAGGCCAACCGTATGTCAGAACGCATCTCAGATCGATATAAAATGCAAGACGAAGCCGAAGGTACCATCGCCGGCTTAAATTTCTCCCATCCCCTTCCGGAGGGCGATGAAGACGAAGATTACATCGACACCGGTGCCGCGATTTTGAACTTCTACTGTACACTGGTAGATCTTCTCGGCAGGTGCGCGCCCGACGCTTCCGTAATCGAGCAAGGCAAAAACGAATCGCTGCGAGCTAGAGCTATTTTGAGATCTCTTGTGCCACTGGAGGATCTTCAGGGCGTCCTCAGCTTGAAGTTCACACTCACCCAAACTGCGCCGGGAGAGGAAAAGCCTAAGTCGGATATGCCATCCGGCCTATTGCCGAACAACAAACAAAGTATCGTTCTCTTCTTGGAACGCGTATACGGCATCGAGACGCAGGAGCTCTTCTACCGCTTACTGGAAGACGCCTTCCTGCCCGATCTCCGAACTGCCACCATCCTCGACAAGAGCGATGGTTCCGAGAGCGACATGGCCCTTTCGATGAATCGATACATCGGCAATTCCATTTTGCCCCTGCTCATCAAGCATTCGAAATTCTACAATGAGGCAGAAAACTATGCCAGTCTATTGGATGCAACATTGCACACGGTCTACAGATTGTCTAAGAACCGTATGCTCACAAAGGGCCAGAGAGAAGCCGTATCCGACTTTTTGGTGGCACTGACATCGCAAATGCAACCTGCAATGTTGTTGAAACTTTTGCGCAAGTTGACGGTCGATGTCTCCAAACTATCCGAGTACACGACTGTGGCTTTGAGGGTAAGCCGGCTCTGAAACTTAGTATTTCTCAGGTCATACCAAACACAATTTCTTTTTCTTTTCAGCTCCTGACATTGCACTTCGATCGCTGCGCCAAATACTACGGCTCCAGTCAAGGCCAGGGGTCCTATGGAGCAGCGTCTGACGAAGAAAAACGTCTCACTATGCTCTTGTTCTCTAACATTTTTGACTCACTCAGCAACATGGACTACGACCCAGAATTGTTTGGCAAGGCTTTGCCATGTTTGATTGCAATTGGTTGTGCTTTGCCACCGGACTACAGCTTGTCCAAGAACTCGGACGAAGATTATTACGGTCGCCAGTCTGGTGCTCCCGATCAGCCGCAATACGATCCCAATCCCATCGAGACGTCAAATGTTAATTTGACACATGACTACAATTCTCTGGTTGAGAAGTTCAGCGAACACTACCACGACGCCTGGGCTAGTCGCCGTTTAGAAAGTGGTTGGACCTATGGTGAAGTGCGATCGGACACGGACCGTAAACACCCTAGGCTCAAGCCATGCAACATGCTTACCGAATATGTATGTCAAAAAAGAGCCGATAAGTTGAAGTTTAGTGGAATGAAACAGCCACAAGAAGTTGGCCAACATTCCGCTCAGCCTCCTTTCAGGCTGCAACAAAGCTACATATATGTTGTGTTTCCTTTTGAGATGACATTCGAAACCTTATATATGTAGCATTGTACATAACTGCTCAGATGCTTTTCAGCTACTCATTGTCACTTTCTGCCTTCTTTTCCGTTGCAGGAACGTGAACGATATAGGGACCCTGTCAGGGAGTGCCTTAAGGCCTTACTGGCCCTTGGGTGGACCATCGAACATTCGGAAATAGAAGTGCCACAGAATAATCGTGGTTCAACCAGACGTCAATCTAAACCCCAAATTGTATGTATAGATCTCAGGATAGAACCAACTAATAACTTTACCATTGACAAGACAAAACACATGGCTCATATATTTGTATTATTTCCCTTTTCCTTTCTGTAACCACTCCTCCTCTGTTGAAATATACTAATCGCTCTCATGGACACACACACCCACTCTCTGAATTTTTGGCGACATTTTCTAATCAAATAGAACGACTTCCAGAATGAAGGCAGTTCATTTAACTACAACCCACACCCAGTGGATATGACCAATTTGACACTGAGCAGAGAAATGCAGAACATGGCCGAACGCCTGGCAGAGAACTCCCATGACATTTGGGCCAAAAAGAAGAAGGAGGAACTCAACTCATGTGGTGGAGTCATTCATCCCCAACTTGTGCCCTATGATTTGCTGACGGATAAGGAGAAGCGCAAGGATCGCGAGAGATCGCAAGAGTTCTTGAAATACATGCAGTATCAGGGCTACAAGCTACACAAGTAAGTTCACCATTTTGGTATATGATGGGAAAATGTTTGTAATTATTAATGTTATCCTTAGGCCATCTAAAGGTGGAGCCTTGGAGGGCGAAGGCGGAGCAACACAGGCATCGGCCGAGTTGAGGTTTTCGTACTCCCTACTAGAAAAACTGATCCAGTACCTGGACCGTGCAACTATCAACATGAAGTTGCTCAAGCCGTCGACCACGTTCAGCAGACGAACCTCCTTCAAGACTGCTTCGCGCGACATTAAATTCTTTTCGAAGGTGGTCTTGCCTCTGATGGAAAAGTACTTCTCGACGCACCGAAACTACTTCATTGCCGTGGCCACAGCTACCAACAATGTGGGTGCTGCTTCATTGAAGGAAAAGGAAATGGTGGCAGCAATCTTCTGTAAGCTGGCTTCGTTGTTGCGAAACCGCTTGACCGCCTTCGGCCCCGATGTGCGCATAACGGTCCGTTGTCTTCAAGTACTGGTTAAGGGCATAGATGCTCGCACACTCGTAAAGAACTGTCCCGAGTTCATTAGAACGTCCATGTTGACGTTCTTCAACCAAACTGCCGATGATTTGGGCAACACAATCCTTAATTTACAGGATGGCAAGTACAGTCATCTGAGAGGAACGCATCTAAAGACGTCCACATCGCTGGGTTACATAAACCAGGTGGTAATGCCCGTTTTAACAGCCATGTTCGATCACTTGGCGGCCTGTGACTATGGCAGCGACTTACTTCTGGACGAAATTCAAGTGGCCTCCTATAAGATATTGGCAGCTCTGTATCACCTGGGAACAGATGGTTCTCTGACACAAGATCGCAAATATTTGAAAACCGAGATCGAAAGACATCGTCCGGCTTTGGGCTCTTGCCTGGGAGCCTTCAGTTCCTGCTTCCCGGTTGCTTTCTTTGAGCCCCACTTGAACAAGCACAATCAGTTCTCGCTTCTCAATCGCATAGCCGACCATTCGTTGGAGGCCCAAGACATTATGGTAAAAATGGAGAGCTGTATGCCGAATTTGGAGACGGTATTGGCCGAAGTCGACCAGTTCGTGGAATCCGACAAGACCTATCATGACGCCCCTCATGTCATTGATGTAATTTTGCCACTTCTCTGTTCGTATCTGCCATTCTGGTGGTCGCAGGGACCCGACAATGTCAGTCCCACCAGCGGAAACCACGTCACAATGGTCACAGCCGATCACATGAATTCGTTGCTGCGCAACGTCCTGAAGATGATCAAAAAGAACATTGGCAACGACAATGCCCCCTGGATGACCAGGATCGCCGCATACACCCAGCAGATAATCATCAATACGTCCGAGGAACTGCTTAAGGATCCCTTCTTGCCGTTGGCAGAGCGAGTTAAGAAACGCACCGAGAACATGTTCCACAAGGAGGAGAGTATGCGCGGCTTCATTAAATCCGCCACAGACGACACGTCTCAAGTTGAGACCCAGCTGCAAGAAGATTGGAATCTGCTCGTACGCGATATCTACTCATTCTATCCGCTTCTGATCAAATACGTCGATTTACAACGTAATCATTGGCTGAAGGACAATATACCCGAGGCCGAAGAACTGTACAACCATGTGGCGGAAATCTTTAACATATGGTCCAAGAGTCAATACTTCCTCAAGGAAGAGCAAAACTTTATTTCGGCCAATGAAATCGACAACATGGCCTTGATCATGCCGACGGCTACTAGGCGATCGGCCATTACAGAGGGTGCCCCAGTAACCGGCGGAAAGGTGAAGAAGAAAAAGAAGAATCGCGATAAGAAACGCGACAAGGACAAGGAGATCCAAGCCAGTTTAATGGTGGCCTGTCTGAAACGTCTTCTGCCCGTGGGCCTCAATCTGTTCGCTGGCCGTGAACAAGAATTGGTGCAGCATTGCAAGGACCGGTACTTGAAGAAAATGCCCGAGTACGATGTCATCGAATTCGCACGAAATCAGCTGACCCTACCCGATAAATTGGATCCCTCGGACGAAATGTCGTGGCAGCACTATTTATATTCCAAGCTTGGCAAGAAGGAGGAGCCCACCGAAGAGCAGACTGCCATCGAGAAGGCGGCCAACCAAAACGATAAGGGTCGAGACAAGACCCAAGAAACCGTAGATCGTATTGTGGCCATGGCCAAAGTCTTATATGGTCTGCACATGGTAAGTGGTCAGGTCTATGAAGAACCTCCCTCCAAACCAAATATTGTCCTCAATCCTATTCAACACCTATTACTCTCCGTTACTCTGAGTTTCTACTGTCACCTGTGATATCTATCTCCCTCTATCTGTCTTTCTTTCTTTCGATCGTGCTCCCTCTGCAACGTACCGCCTACGGTTGTGGCAAGGGGAGCCGATGTTTAACTTCATATGTATCTTCTTGGTTTATAATAGCTAACTGTTTAATTTACATTCTCAATTAATTTTACCTTATTTTTCTCGCATTTATTTCCATCGAACTACACGAACAATTACAGATCGATCATCCCCAACAGCAAAGCAAAAATGTCTACAGGAGCGTCGTTTCTATACAAAGGAAGCGCGCCGTTATCGCGTGTTTCCGTCAGACATCTCTACATTCTCTTCCAAGGTTTTTAAACGATTCTCATTTTTAATAGTGCCACAGCCAAACAATTTCTCAACTAACCTTCCCTCCCAATCTGTCTATCCGTCTCTGTTTATCTCACTCCCTATCTATCGACTCTCTTAACCCACTGTCCCAAAAACAAAAGTTTCTCTTAGTAAGAGAGCTGCAAAGGAATGCATTTTTGTGTGTTTTGGTTTTGGTTAAGTGTTCTATGGTTGTTTGTTAAAAGCTCTTTGTGTTTGGTTGAAATGTTATGAACCTGATTTAATGATCTTCGCATAATCTCTGGTAGTGCGTGCGCAAATGCAATCGTTTCCGGCTCTTCCGCTCTTCCGCTCTTCCGCCCTTCCACCTCTCCAAGCATCAAACCATCAGTCTATTTTGTACACGCCTCCCCGCTTCACTGATCTATTCGTCATTTCATTCATTGTCATATTCCTTCTATGTTCCTTAACTCTATTTTGTTTTTATTTTGTCTTTCTTTTTTTTTTTTTGGTTTTTGTCTAATTTTCTTTCTCCCCAACCGTGTAAATATTCTAACAAGCTCTATGACTAACTGAAATGCCTCTGGCTTATTTTTGTATTTTGTGTCCTGGATTCCTATAGGCGTCACGCTCTAAGCAAAAATCTAAAACTCGGACCTCGAAAATCACTTTGGCCCGCCGCCAAGCGGTCATGTCCAGCTTGCGCTCCATTCATCTCTATCGCATTAGCAGGTGGGGCATGTGTGGTTTGTCAGCTTCAATGATGGCGCACAGCCACAACGATTCCATTTAAGGGATCATTGTGCGGCCTGCGCCCCTTTCGCGTAGGTCTTGAAATTACAACTAACCCATCTCTAATAAACGCATGATCTTGAAGCGTTGAAGATAACAAATCAAACCAAAATGTGTTTTTGTTTTCTGTTTTTATTAATTTTTGTTTATTTCTTAAATCCCAAATCTCAAGTCCAACAACTAATCCGACTCTAATTACTTCCCACCAGACATCGCGCTTGTAATATTTTCGCTCGCACTTACTATGAACAGTGGCTGCAGGAGGAAAATGTGGGTCAAGAGGTGATGATCGAAGACCTTACCCAAACCTTCGAAGATTTCGAGAAATCGAAGAAGGACGAAGACGAAACGGAGGCCAAACCAGATCCTTTAACTCAATTGGTTACCACCTTCTGTCGCGGTGCTATGACTGAACGAAGTGGCGCATTGCAAGAGGACCCATTGTACATGTCATATGCACAAATAGCCGCCAAATCCTGTGGCGAAGAAGAAGAGGAGGGTGGTGACGAAGAAGGTGGCGAAGAAGAAGGCGAAGGCACCAGCATTCATGTAAGTTTAACCATCCGTCAATCAATCAATTGTCTTTGCTCGGTATTTAAATCTCTTCCATTTTTAACCACATGCCAACCTATAGCATACGATGAGGAAACTAATGGTAACGATTAACACACATTCTTAAATGATGTTTGATCAATTAAAAATTAACATTGCCATTTTTAAGTCATAGGACAATTTATTATTTTATTGTGCTGGCAAGTGAAATTAAGCTTCCTGCAACGTAAATTGTCCAGAGTATGGATAAATTTCAAACTCATTTGGAGAGTTATCGTTATGTAGGGTCCAAAATTGGTATATCGATGAATAACATTTTAAACGCATTAAATTACGTACACCATACGCCATAAGACCAAATTGTTATACCCTACACCTCATAGTGGTAAGGGTATAATGTCTTTGTGCATTTGTTTGTAACATGGAGAAGGAAGCGAGATAGATCCATAATTGCTTTTGAGGATCTTCATAGAATCACTTTCTGGGTCGATTAATGCATGTCAGTCTCTCTGTCCATGTATTTTTGTGAACAAAATGCAGGTCGTATTTATTATCCGATTGATATGTAATTTTCCAAACAATATTTGTTTGGCCTAGGACGAACTATATTGAAATTGGTAATAATCGGATCAGACTTAGATAAAGGTCCCATATATCTTCAACCGGTTTCGGTTTAATTGTGCACCAAATGGCCAATTTCTGTTCAAATAACATGAATTTAGCACATCCGCATCAAATCGATTCAGATATAGCTATAACTCTCATTTATATGTTTTATCCGATTTGGTGTAAAATTCCTAATATTCGGTATTTTGATGATTTGTGTCACACAATTCACTTGAATTGTTTCAAATTTCGCATTTGGAGTTTGTATTGTGTACTACCTCCTTGTATAGCTTCCATATAACTGTACCCCAGATATTCGGTATTTTGATGGTTTGGTCACACATTTCTTCAGAATTATTTCAAATCCGAAATTTGGAATTCGCAGTGGGTACTGCTTTCTGTGGCAGAAAATTGAGCTCACAAATTCACGTCTTCGTGTACCCCCATATACCTCCCAATATTCGTTATTTTCATGATTTTAACTATATTTTTTCAACAGAATTATCCTATATTTCGTATTTGGAGTTCGTAAACGGCTACCACATAGAAGCGTTAGCATTTATGTCCCATCTGTGTATTAACCGATTAACTAAAACAAATTTATAAGCCATTTATAATTTAAAATATAATTTATAAAAACGACTAACCCAACATTTTTGGCAGTCGTAGGTACACAGCGGAAGTTGTTGCTGAGATTTCTAATCAATTTTTGACAATCATATGTCTTACAAATCAACCTTGAGACCTATTCTTTTTACCAGGGCATGTCGCTCGAAATGAGTGCTTATCATTTGGCGACTAAAATTGAAAAAATGTCTTGTCGTTGAATATCTTGAACATCATTTTTAAACAAATGTCGCGATATCTTGTAATATTTTGTAAAAAAATATTCAATGACCCAAAATTCCGGTATATGAGAGCAAGTGAAAATAAAAACTTTTTAACAATTGAGTTAGTGATAATTTGCAAAATCTTAATGGAAAAATTTACAGAGTAAGAATTATCCAGTAACATCAACTGGTTGAAAATAGCTGTTTTGTGGCCAATGCAAAAAATGTTAACAAATTTTAGCCAATAATTCCATTATTTTTCAGATAATGTTATTAAATAACTAATTTTGCAGACAGGATTTCTCAACAGTTTAAAAGTGTTACGCATTCATTTCGCGAAACTGATGTATGTATTCTTGCTAGATATTACCAAATGTTTTTTGAAAACTTTTTGCAAAATTTGCACACGAGAGAGAAAAGGTTATTGAGTAACGGATAGGTTTGTACGGGATAAGTTATCGTTCATACCTATTTCCTCTGATAACTTTTCTTAACATATTTTGTACAAATGAACGTGCACCGGGTCAGCTAGTCTTCTATCAATTTATATAAAAGAGTAGTGAAATAACTGACTCAGAATCAACGCCCAGACGAAACGGCTGAAGCCAGCTGACCCAGTTCACGTTGCTGCCCCGTCGTTTAGACTTAGATTTAGACTAGATTATTTTAGACATATGTACTATAAATTTATACTGCTCGGTTTTAGTAATTTTTAAGTTCCTGAGACACATTTCCTTGCCGAATCAGCAGTAATGTAGCATTTATGACCCCCAATGTATATTATTTCGACACCGCGACATCTTGATGTCTTCTATACCGATAAGGGAATATTAATTTTACTATTCAGTTTGGAAAACCCTCAAATACACGTACCTGGATGGTATATATTCTTGATGGGAATAAAATTCATTATCAAATTATCATGACTTCTGTTATGATTATTCAAATTGTTGACCCTCTATGGAGTAGGTTCCGAAAGAATGGGCCAATATTGTCCATTTGGTATCGGACCTGAATAAATATTGTGACGTGCCAAGTTTGGACTATATTGGTTACTTCCTTCACTTTATATGAGATTTGAGATAATTTAAAGAAAATGTTAAATGTTCAACCGAAGTATTCCATTTTCATACTTCATCTAATACAGATAAAAATATTGGTATTGGCAAAAGGACAAGAAAATCGACATTTTTATATCCAATTTTATACGAAATCATTAATTCCATATTAATCTCAGGTTTTCTGGTTGAGAGAAATATTTAGCAAGTTGTAAAGAATCGCTGACTTGTTTCGCAAGTTACAACAGATAAAAGTATTGAAAGTATGACCCTTTGTGGGTTCGATTCCAGAAGGAGTTCGCAGATATATATATCAACTTCACAACAGATCTTTTGTTAGCAAAACTATTTTTATGTGTGAAATTTGAAGATCATGTGTTGATAAAAATATTCAGATGTGCAAAAAATGGAATCGGATGTTAATTTCGAATTTTACGAGCTTCATGGATATTCAAAATGTTGGCCCTTTGTGGGGGAGTTACCAGAAGGAGTAGACCGATATATTCAATATTCACACCAGACCTTGGGTTACTAAAAATATTGTGATATGTGCAATTTGAAGACTCAGACTCTCATATCACATTTTATAAGAATTGTAATTATTCAAAATTTGTACCCTTTGTGGGGGAGGTACTTGATGAATTTGACCGATATTGTCAATTTTCGCACCTGACCTAGCACTGATGCATAATGTTGGAGTAAAATTGGATTATCCGTTCTGTTTCTGTGCGAGAGTTATCGTGCGCACCAGCCGCCAGACAGACAGATGGACGGACAGACGGTTAAACATCGCTAGATCGACTACAAATGTCCTGAAACGGATTTGGTCCAAAAAGACCTAGGTCTAAAGCCCTTATTTCGATGGGGTACGTTCCGATGGGGTACGTTTTGATATATACCCTCTCTAGCGATATGGCTGAGGCTATAATGATCCAAATACCGAATTTTAGATTTCCACAATAATTCGTTCAATTTATACTTTTATGTTCTTAGTTTTACTCACTTTCACTCAGTATACATTTTATCCAAAATCCCCTGCTCATATTAACCCGACATAACAAACTTAGTGCCTGTTTACGTTAGAGTTTTTTCAGGGTTAACATTTGGAAAAAACATTTGATTCAAGTTAAATTTCAGCCATTCTAAACTGATGACCGACCCCCCATCGATACTACGGTTGGAGGGAAAATCAAAAGTATCTCGTAGACTAATTTTTAAACCGAAACCTTCATTATTTTTGACAAATATAAGGATTTAAGATTACCAACAAATTAGATAACTTGCCATGTAAGGAGTTGAAAAAATTCCCATACGGTTTCAAAGTTTTCTGTTTCCAAATACACATCACTACAAAACATTAACATTTTTTGATAGAAAACTTTTTTTCGAGACAGATAAACGTACTGAAATTGTGTAAAATAACAAAACATTGTTAATTTCTAATATTTATCCCTTGTAGGAACAAGAAATGGAAAAACAGAAATTGCTCTTCCATCAAGCCCGCCTGTCGAATCGCGGTGTCGCTGAAATGGTCCTGCTTCATATCTCAGCGTCCAAGGGTATACCGTCAGAAATGGTCATGACCACACTCAATCTGGGCATTTCGATACTGCGTGGTGGCAACATTGACATTCAAATGGGAATGTTGAATCATCTGAAGGAGAAGAAGGACGTCGGTTTCTTCACCTCCATAGCCGGCTTAATGAATTCATGCAGTGTCCTGGATTTGGATGCGTTCGAGAGAAACACCAAAGCTGAAGGTAATGTTGTATTTAGAATTTAAATTGTGTGCACACTGCTCCTTCCACACCTCCATTTATCCACCATAAAATCCACATCTCCCCATGTTCCCCAAATTGTTTGTTGTGAAAAAATTTTGGGTTCCTTGTTTTGAGCAAAGATTTTATTTTCCTCTGAGATTCAATTCGTTTTAATTTGAAAACTTCACCATTGCCCTTGCACGTTTTTATTTTTCAAAATTTCCACAAACACCTCCCGATTTTGTTGTTAAATTGCACTGTAACCCAACACCCATCACCACCACCACCACAACCACTCCGCATGCAATTTCCTGTTGTCCCCACACAATATTGTGAACTTTGCAAACAAAGAATACATTCCAAGTGCGGGTGCAGGTCTTGGTGTCGGCTCGGAGGGTGCTGCTGGCGAGAAAAACATGCACGATGCTGAATTTACGTGTGCGCTCTTCCGTTTCATCCAACTGACTTGCGAAGGACATAACTTGGGTGAGTACGCCAACGGCCGATGGAACACTAACAGAACGCAGGCTCATGTTAATGGTTCGTTTTACTTGCAGAGTGGCAGAACTATTTGCGTACCCAGGCTGGCAACACGACAACTGTCAATGTGGTCATCTGTACGGTCGATTATCTACTGCGTCTGCAGGAATCAATCATGGACTTCTACTGGCATTACTCGAGCAAGGAAATAATAGATCCGGCGGGAAAAGCAAACTTTTTCAAAGCCATCGGTGTGGCCAGTCAGGTTTTCAACACGCTTACTGAAGTCATTCAAGGTCCCTGTACGCTCAATCAACAGGCATTGGCCCACTCCAGATTGTGGGATGCTGTGGGCGGTTTCCTCTTCCTGTTCTCACACATGCAGGAGAAGCTGTCGAAACACTCCAGTCAGGTGGACCTTCTGAAGGAGCTTTTGAATCTACAAAAGGACATGATCACCATGATGCTCTCCATGTTGGAGGGTAATGTTGTTAACGGTAAAGGAACTCATTGTCTTCCGCTCCCCACTATCGGCCATTGCTTACGACATAATCATTTATTGCAGGTACGATTGGTAAACAGATGGTGGACACTCTGGTAGAATCAGCCGGCAACGTCGAGTTGATCTTGAAATATTTCGATATGTTCTTGAAATTGAAGGATCTTATTGAATCCCCCAGTTTCATGGAAATCGATATCAAGAACGAGGGCTGGGTTACACCGAAAGACTTCCGCGACAAAATGGAACAATCGAAGAACTACACACCGTAAGCGCGAATCTAATTGCATTTATTTTCTGTTTTTCATTTATTTCTCCTTTCCTATTTGCAGCGAGGAAATTGACTTTTTGCTGGCCTGCTGTGAACGGAACCACGAGGGCAAAATCGATTATGCAGGCTTCGTGGATCGTTTCCATGAACCCTCGAAGGAGATTGGTTTCAATCTGGCTGTGCTGTTGACAAATTTGAGTGAGCACATGCCCAACGAACCACGCTTGGCTCGCTTCCTGGAAACTGCCGGATCGGTATTGAACTATTTCGAACCATTCTTGGGCCGCATAGAAATCCTGGGTAGCTCCAAGAGAATTGAACGTGTCTACTTTGAGATTAAGGACTCCAACATCGAGCAGTGGGAGAAACCCCAGATTAGGGAATCGAAGCGGGCCTTCTTCTATTCTATTGTAACTGAGGGCGGCGACAAAGAAAAGCTTGAGGCTTTCGTCAATTTCTGTGAGGATGCCATTTTTGAAATGACACACGCCTCCGGCCTGATGGCTACGGATGATGGTGGCGGCAACGTCAAGCGTGATACCTCCTACAGTTCGTACATGAGTGAGGAGGAGGAAGAACGTGCTGCTCGTGATCCCATCAGACGCACCATAAACGCTGTCAAGGAAGGTCTGAAATTCGGTGTTCACATGTTGAGTCCGTCTAACATCAAACACCAGATCGGCGTAATGCAAACGAAAACGGTTCCGGAATTGATTATTGGCTTCTTCAAGATTATTTTCTACATGTTCTACTACACTGGATACGCCCACTTTGCGGTTGTTCGTTACATTTTCGGCATACTTATGAACTTGATGCGAGGTCCCGCACCCGAAGAAGTTGAAGAGGCTCCAGTTGAGGAAGAAACATTTGGCAGAGCGTTACCTCCTTTGCCCATCGAAGAACCACCGGGCACGGTTCAGGCATTTGGTCTCGACATCAATAAGGAAGAAAACGGACAATATAAGGTTACGGTACACGAATCGTCGGGCGGCAGTCCATCGTCTTCAATGGAAGAAACTGGAGAGTCCAGTCCAGAAGACGGCGGTCCAGCTGGTGAGGTGCCAGTTGAGGGCGAGGCTCATCACCCTGAACCCGTGTCGATCGTTGACCTGCTTGGAGGAGAAGCTGCTAAAAAGGCTGCCCAAGAACGCCAAGAAGCCCAAAAGGCTCAAGAAGCTGCAATGGCCTCCATCGAAGCAGAAGCCAAAAAGTCATCCAGCGCTCCCCAGGAAACTCCAGCTGTCAATCAAATTGACTTCTCGCAATACACTCACCGTGCCGTCAGTTTCTTGGCTCGTAACTTCTACAATCTGAAATATGTCGCTTTGGTCTTGGCATTCAGCATCAATTTCATGCTGCTCTTCTACAAGGTTACATCGTTGACGGACGATGAAGAGTCATCGGGCGATGATGTCCTGATTTTAGGTTCTGGTTCTGGCGCTGGTTTGGCAGGTTCCGGTATGGGCTCGGGTGATGGATCAGGTGATGGCGAGGGAGAAGAGGACGAAATACCTGAAATGGTGCACGTGGACGAAGACTTCTTCTACATGGAGCATGTCATACGAATAGCAGCACTCATGCACAGTTTGGTATCGTTGGCTATGCTGATCGCCTACTACCATCTGAAGGTTCCCTTGGCTATATTCAAGCGTGAAAAGGAAATCGCTAGACGTTTGGAGTTCGACGGTCTGTTCATTGCCGAGCAGCCGGAGGATGATGACTTTAAATCGCACTGGGACAAATTGGTAATTTCGGCAAAGTCGTTCCCCGTAAACTATTGGGATAAGTTCGTCAAGAAGAAGGTCCGCCAAAAGTACAGCGAAACCTTTGACTTCGACAACATTTCGAATCTGTTGGGTATGGAAAAGAGCTCCTTCATGGCGCAGGAAAGCGAAGAGGGGGGTTTAATAAAATACATCACCAACATCGACTGGCGCTACCAAGTGTGGAAGGCGGGTGTTACTTTCACCGACAACGCTTTCCTTTACTCGCTGTGGTACTTCTCCTTCTCCGTAATGGGCAACTTTAACAACTTCTTCTTTGCTGCACATTTGCTGGATGTTGCAGTTGGCTTCAAGACGCTACGAACCATTTTGCAGTCCGTAACCCACAACGGCAAACAACTAGTGCTCACGGTCATGTTGCTGACCATTATAGTGTACATTTACACCGTCATTGCTTTCAACTTCTTCCGCAAGTTCTACATACAGGAGGAGGACGAGGAGGTGGACAAGAAATGTCACGACATGTTGACATGTTTCGTCTTCCATTTGTACAAGGGTGTGAGAGCCGGCGGTGGTATTGGTGACGAAATCGGCGATCCGGTCGGCGATGAATACGAAGTGTATCGCATCATCTTCGACATAACCTTCTTCTTTTTCGTCATCGTTATTCTCTTGGCCATTATCCAAGGTTTGATCATTGACGCCTTCGGTGAGCTTCGTGATCAATTGGAATCGGTGAAAGAGAATATGGAGTCGAACTGCTTCATATGTGGCATGGGCAAAGACTTCTTCGACATAGTACCGCATGGCTTCGATACGCACGTCCAGAAGGAACATAATCTGGCTAACTACATGTTCTTCCTAATGCATTTGATTAACAAGCCCGACACCGAATACACCGGTCAAGAGACGTACGTCTGGAACATGTACCAGCAACGCAGCTGGGACTTCTTCCCGGTCGGTGACTGTTTCCGCAAGCAATATGAAGACGAACTGTCTGGCGGTGGTGGCGGCGGTTAATATTTCGCATCGATGTGAAACTTCATGACGAAATTGTGTGACTACCAACCAGCCAAACAATTTAGGCAATTTTTATACCGTTTTTATCTCTAACTTCAAATTCACCAACAAAAACAAAAAAAAAACAATCAATTTTTACTCTTAATGTTAATATAAATATAAAATGAATATAATATAAGTTATAAGTTTATATTTTACTCGACTAATAGTCAATTCTTTTACTCATACACCACGAACCAGAAAACAAGTAAAGAAACTTTCTTACCGTTACTGCTAAATTCTATTCTTCGACCAACACAAAGTGTGAAAACGCCATACAAATAATGGCAGATCTAAAACACCTCCTCCGACTACAAAAATCAGAACAGAATTTGAATTGATTTTACTCTTTGTATACACTCAAATCAAACTAAACTCATATTGTTGAATGAAATTGTACGATATATACATATATTAAATAAATTTTATCTATTTTAACAGACGATTGTGATTTTACTCAGTGTCCTAATTCATATGCCCGGCATCTAAGGGTAACTTACTTAAATGTTCGCTGGTGGAAATAATCCTTAATAGTTTATCGAACGCTTTGTACTAATCAACCACGCGTCATGTGACGTTTTCTTTTTGACGCTTAATAAAAGACTTAAAATATACAAAATGATATAAACTAAGATTATACAACTTCAATGTATTATTTGGTGCATTTAAATGCAACATCAATATTATAAGGATTTATTGCTTAATCTGGATTTGATCACCAGTTTTTCTACCCTCCACCATACATGGTATGGAGGGTATATTAAGTTCGTCATTCCGAAATAATAATTTTAGACATAACGCAGTATATACAGGGTTGCCCATATTCGACGGACCCATGTTCAGAAAGCGCCGTCTTGTTGAAACCAGAACTGCCTCATACGCTTTCGACGAATAATTGGCTTCACAAAATTGGTCATCATGTCGCGATAACGCTCCTGATTGATGGTAACAACATGGCCATTTTCATTTTGGAAGAAAAACGGCCCAATGACCGTTTTCGCACTAACGCCGCACCAAACTGTGACTTTTTCGTCATGAAGAGGCACTTCTTGAATCTCCTGAGGATTTTCAGTGGCGTAAAAACGGCAATTTTGCTTAATGGTGTTCTTAGAAGGCGCACTTCTCACATTTTTGAATGTTTTAAAAGCACGTTGAGATTTCACAAATGACTTCTTCTGTTAAATGTAAATTTCAACTATTTTAGAGCGCTCGCGTGGCGTGTATCGGTTCATGGTAAAAATCTGCTTGGACTGACGCTTCAAACGCGGTATGTCATTAAGTGATGTGACATCTCTGTCAAAAGTTATGCCGTTGCCAGATGGGTCCGTCGAATATGGGCAACCCTGTATATTCTTGATCAGTGTAAAATTCTAAGGCGATTTTGTCCTGTCCGTCTGTCCCTCTTTTGTAAACACGCTAGAGTCCAAACGAATAATTTTGGGAAGAATTTTGCACAGATCAGTCTTTTGTCTGCAGGCGGGTCAAGTTCGAACATGGGCTATATCGGTCCACGATATCATATAGCCCCCATAGTATTCGGTATTTTGATGATGGTAGCCAATTTTTTCAATGAAATCGTTTGAAATTTCGTATTTGAAGTTCCTAATAGGTACTACATCCTGTGACAGAAAATTGTCTATGCAGGTCCACGTCTTCGTATAGACCCCAATATAACGGCTATATTCTAATTTTTAAGATTTTAACAGAACAGTGTTGGCTTTTTTGTTCGGAATACCATAGTATTTTGTTTTTGCCAAATGGTCAGGCTTAATCCCTTTATTGTTGTTTTTATAAAAACAACGTTTGTTTATTAGCGGAGAACGATGGTAATGTTTACCAGGGGGTAAGGCAGGGAATACCTAGGTTTCGGAAAGAGCAACCAATCCTCATCAGTTCCCTTGTTTTTTGTCTGGGATATTCTCCCAGGAGTTATTTTAAAAATAACTTCTATGACAAAAAACATTTTTTTTTTAACATTTTAACAGAACTTTTAACGGATTTTATTTTTCGAAAATTTCCAAATTCGTTTCAAATGGTGGAGGGTATTCAAAGTACGGCCCGGTCGTACTTACTGCTTTTTACAAAATCTTCAGACCAATGATATCGAACGCTGTTTTCCCCAATGGAAATTTATGCAATACCAAAAAGTTTTAATGGAATTTTTATTATATAAAATTTGCCATTGAGTTACAAACTCATGGAAATATTCATTTTGGACTCAAAAAAGTAAATATATTGTATGTCAAACGACTTGATAGGAAACTTAGATTATGCACAGAGGTAGGAGTCTTATGTTTGCAGGAAATATTCGTCGTAGAACCCGCAAATTATATATATTCATGATCAGTATAAAATTCTCTAAGTCGCTTTAACGATGTCCATCTGCCTGCTGAAATCACGAAACAGCCCACATTATTTGACGTAGAGCTTCACTGTTCGCCAGTGGATATTATCGGTGGGTATCGCCATATGTGCTCTACAGGAAAACATGGACCTTGATATTCAATGTTCTGTCACCGGAGCTAGTTCCTATTAAGAACTACAAATACCATGTTTTAGATAAATCCGTGGCATATGGCATTAATATACCGGATATCGGGATGTACCGTTTTATTGGGGCTATAGGAAAATGTGGACCTATACATAAAATGGAACCCATATTTTTATACCCTCCACCATACATAGTATAGAGATACCCTCTATTAAGTTCGTCATTCCGTTTGTAACTCATCGAAATAATCATTTTAGACCCAACAAAGTACATATATTCTTGATTGGCGTAAAATTCTTAGTTTCTAAAATAAAAGATTTAGCCCTGTCCGTCTGTTGTAATCACGCTACAGTAAAACGGTATCTCCTGATATTCGGTATTTTGATGATTTCAGCCACATTTTTGAATGGAATTGTCTTAAATTCCACACGAGAAGTTTATTGTGAGCACTTTACCCCCTGACAAAGAATTCTCTACATATGCTAACGATATCGTATATCCCCCATATAACGGTACCCTGCGATATTCGGTATGTTGATGATTTGAGCCACATTTTCCAATGGTAGTGTCTGAAAATCCACACAAGGAGTTCCTTGTTAGCACTTTATCCCCTGGAAAATAATTATCTATACAGGTACACGATATCGTATAACCCCCATATAACGGTACCCCCGATATTCGGTATTTTGACGATTTTAGTCATATTTTTCAATGGAAATGTCTCTAATTCCACACAAGGAGTTCAAGGAGAACTTTACCCCCTAAAAGAGATTTGTCTATATAGGTCTATAATATCGTATATCCCCCATCTTCGTATAGCCCCCATATAACGGTACCTCCCGATATTCGATATTTTGATGATTTTAGCGAATTTATTTACCGAAATTGTTTCAAATTTTGTATTTGAAGTTCGTTATAGATAGTACATCATAAGCCAGGAAATTGTCTGTACAGGTCCACGTCTTCATAGAGCCCCCATATAACGGTACCTCCCGATATTCGGTATTCTGATTATTTTTCACCGGAATTGTTTCAAATTTGATATTTGAAGTTCGTGGCATTGAAATTGCAAAATTAATATAATGTAGGATGTACTATCCATAACGAACTTCAAATACAAAAATTTGAAACAATTTCGGTAAATAAATTCGCTAAAATCGTCAAAATAACGAATATAGGGAGATACAATTGTACGGCGGCTATACGATATGGCAAAAGACAACTCTATGCAATATTTTACCTTCCTATCACATGCCGTTTGAAATCTATCTTAAATGATTTTTTCAATGAGTTACAAATGGAATGACAAACTTAATATACCCTCCATACAAATTTGTATGTGGTTGTTGTTACGATTGTTGTACAACAACACCTGCTGTTACCTGTATTATTCTACCATGGTATAATTATTACAGGTCCAACAAAGCCCAGCTCATATGGTAATGCTAGAGTCAAATTCGATATGACGTTTGATGAGAGATATATTGAACATGATTTTGAAATCATTTGAAATCGTTCATTCAATATTCGCGGGTTTCAATTATCTATTCAAATTCAAGACAACAAGCTGTTTGATTTTATATAGTTTTGATAGCAATTCTGACATTGCAAACCAAACAGGTAGATACATACAATTTGTTCAAAGTTAGCCTACCTTGTCTACATTGTACCATGGGTATACATTTTTTTGATTTAAAAAATCACTGCAGGACAATCTGAACATATTTTTTGCCTAAAATCCGTATTCTGGTGGGGCTGAATATATTTCCACTGCGTAGCACTAACGTTGACGGACCACACCGGAGCCGCATAGTTTACAACGGGCCGGCCTATCGCGTTGTAAGAGGTCAACAAGGTTTCCTTATAAGCTCCCCAAGTGCTGCCGACCAGAGACTTGAGAACCTTACAACACCATCATTCAAAGATAGCCTTATCTCCGCAGTCCGTCGATTTAGTGGCGGCTATATTCATATTCCTCGCAGTGAAAAAGGCGGTTAGATCAACTATGTAAGCATTTAACCGATGTGTCGCATATGTCATCTATGATGGGTCCGAACGCTATGAGCGTGCAATCATATGCGTACGTTATTATCTCTGTGCAGTCTGGAGGACGTGGAATGTCAGAAAGGTAGAGGTTAAACAGTTCCGGAGATATCACCCCACCTTGGAGAACTCTTTTTTTCGCTCTACGAATGCTCAACTTCTTGTTTCTGAGTTCCATGTACGACTGGCGTCCACACATGTAGTTTACTATCCAACGTTTCAAACGTAGCATGTTTAACTGTATCAAAAGCTTATAATAAATCAAGTGCCTCCATAATTGTTCTGTCACATGGCTAGTTCTGGTTGAGTCCTCTGCTGACATGTGTGGAAAGGGCGTGTAAAGCTGTGTAGTGCTATGCAATTTCCGGAATTTGTGTTCATGATCAGCTACTGGGAAACACTCTCTTATGATGGGGAGGAGTGCAACATCTTCCAACGTAAATTGTGGTGGTACCTCTTACACGGCGTAGGATCCTTCTCTTAGCCCTGTCACTCTCGGGGTGCTCTATAAATTATCGGTTGAAATAACACGCGCACCTCTTTGGATCTGTCACTTCTATGCCGTTAAATGAGACAGATGTCCGATCACACAATTTACTCTATCCGGTACTGATGTTCCAATGCTTCAGATGTTCTAGCCACCATGTTACAATAAAAAGGTAAAGTAGAGCTACAAGCTGATTACAATTCTTTTCTAACAATACGTTTACGTTGTAAAGGATTTAGAAACCCAGTCGGTTTAAATTGTCAATTCCATTGTATATACCTCAAATAAATCTTCATAATCAAGGTTATCCAGGAAAAAGCTCTAACGTAAACAATTTTGTGTATGTATTTATTGTTTTGAAAAATGAAAACAAAATATTTTCAAAAAAAAGATGGTTTGGGCAGTTCTCTGAAGCGGCGATTTGTATATTCTCTGAATTCTTGCCAATTGGCTTTCCCGTGGTTAAGGAAAGTTCGGAGTTTAGAATTTTATGAAATCGGGTGATCTCTTGATGGCGACAATAATGAGGAGGTGGCCTGAGCCTAAGATATGTCCGGCGAACTGTGGCAGTCTCCCCTTATTATGGTGGGCGCGCCCTCATTCATTGTGCAAAACGTCGAGCTATCGATTTGCTCAGCCAGCGTCATGCTTCTCTGGTCATTACTTAGGACGGAATGCCATAGTTCATTATGGGCATAGATATCCCCTAGCACCAGACGGTTATTCCCTACCACAAGTGAACTGATATTGGGCATATAACGTGGGGCACAGCTATTTAACGGCGTAATGTACACGTTAAGCACATTACATGTACGGGTCACTAGAGTCAAGCACAGGCGAGATAGGTCTGTACTGGGCAGAATGGTACAATAGGAATGCTAATCCTCCACCTTTAGTGCGATCGTTCTCCAATACGTTGTATACATCACAACTTTGAAGCCTGCAGGTGGTACTCAGCTTCGTTTCCTGGATTGCTGCGACCTTGATGTTTTTCCGACTCCCCCCCCCCCCCCCCCCTTGATGTTTTTCCGAATGCCCCCTTGCAAGTCAAGTTATTGAAATCACACAACAAATGATAAACAAATAGCCAACAAAGTGACATTAAATCTGGTTATAATCTTTCGTACTACGATTCCCATCACAATAAGTATTTTGACAACTCCATTTAGACCATGACCTATCCATTAGGTCATCCTATAAGACAAGCTGATTTCAGTTAGTTTGTATTGTGATTTACACGACCTGTTTAATGGGCCTTGATCTAGACGATGATCAGCTGCGGCAAATTTAGTGTCCATGGCCTAGATATTAGGTTATCCTGACTTCCCCCGCGCTTTCAAAGTGCATGCCATTGTGAATTAAAGGGAAAAATTTTTGACAGTATAAGGAGTTTTCAATCACATAATTCACAATTGCATGCATTTTGATAATTCGGGTGAATTCAGCTTGAATTTAACTATGGTGAAGAAATTATCCTGCACCTTGTTAAAGTAAAGAAAACCTATAAACATGGTTGTTTTTCTCCTTTTCAAGATTGAAACTTTAAAGAACACAACAACCACAAGAGTGATTGTTGCATTGTTTTATCAATGATAAATGTGCCTGATAAAATCCAACTCGAAAATATTGCTTCGAAAGTAAAATTATTAATGCTATATGTACCAAAAAAACATCGTATATACGAATTATACATCCGAAAAAGTTTATTCGCAATTATTAACTCTTTTCATTTCCATAATAAATATTTATAACCAGTGCAGTGAGTATGCCTATCTAATCGCTTGCCATGTCGACCCATGTCAAAGTTTGATTGCCATCACGTTCCAAATCTTCAAATTGTAAATATTTGACGACACCCAATTCATCTTTAATTAGATGACTTTCGACAGTTATCACATCCTCAGCGGGATTTTCTTCCATACTGGAAACCGATGGATCTTCGGTCAAAAGGTCATCCGGTTTAAATATTATTTTTTGGAGACACTCGTCGGACTCTTCGGTTTGCAGGTTATCATCTAAATCATTTTCTTCGTCTAAAGAGTCAGAGCCTATGGTACCGCTGTGGTCATCCATGCTAACATGCTGTGTAAATTGTGGCTGATTAACAATGATGGTATCATTCGTATGTTTTGCTTGTTTCATGTGAGCGAGTAAATGTGGTTTTCGCATGAATCCAGCTCCGCATTCCATGCATTCATAAGGTTTTTTGTCACTGTGGACAAAACGGTGGGCGTTGCGGTTGTCGCGACTATTAAACTGTTTGCCACACACTTCACAAGCATATGGTTTCTGACCACTATGTATAAGCATGTGTTTTTTACAGTGTTCAGGATAAACGAAACCTGCTCCACAAATATCGCACTTGTGTGGACGTTCTCCAGTATGTGCCGCCTGAATATGATATTCCAGTAATCTTTTGCGCTTGAATGAGCGAAGACACTGATCACATTTATGTAGCTTTTCATTGAAATGCGTCGATTTCTTATGACTGGTTAAATTGGAGCGCTGAGCAAACGCGAGAGGACAAAGATCACATTGGTATGGCTTTTCTCCGGTATGCGTACGTTCATGATCCTTAATTTCAGGTCGTCTCGCAAAAGATTTGCCACATATACGGCAAATGAATGGTCGTTGTCCAGTGTGCACAATTTTATGTACTTGTAAACTATGCTGGGTCGTGAAGGACTTATTACAAACTTCACACTCGAATGCTTTTCCCGCGACATGCGACCTTTTGTGTTGTGTGAGGTTTTGTTGATTCAGAAATCGTTTACCGCACTGGTCGCAGTGAAATGGTCTTGGACGCTCCCTGTGGATTTTCATGTGAGATTGAAGAGTATATTTTGAGGCGAAATCTTTGGAGCATTCTGGACATTTGTATGGACGATAGCCGGTATGTGTGTTCATGTGTTCCTCGAGCATTCCCTTCGAACTATACTTTTTCTGGCAGACTGAACACTCGTATGGCTTGGAGTTGCTAAAATGTAACCGTCTGTGGAGTTTTAATAATCGTTGGCTGCTGAATATACGATGACATACGTCGCATTCTAAAGTGTGACCAGACTCTGAATGTATTTTGAGGTCCTGCCTCCTACGAAACCCTTCGTTACACTGTTCGCACATATGAATTCTGCAGTTGTGAAAGGTTTGAACGTGTTCCTTAAGGGAGTCCATTGTGTACTTTGGCGACATTTCACACAACAAGCAAATGTATTCTTCTCCTTCTTGTTTACAAATTGGTTTTGGAAGTATCACTTCAGAATCAGTTTTCACTTTGTCTAAATTTCCCAGCATGAAATTTGTGTTGTCGTCTTTTTTACTATCATTGTCGAAAACATTTGACGATATTATAAAATCAAGATCATTATCTAAAATCAGAGGTAATTACATACATATATGAAATTATAGATGATATTTGTTTATATTACCCTCATCGTGTTTGAAGTCGGTTGGACTATTTTGAATGTTTGCGTTACTGGGCGGATCTTCCAGATTCCCTTTGGTTCCAACATCGTAAATGATTATATCTGAGGAAAGAGGAAAATTATGTCCAGTACTAATATGAAAGTCTTATTTTTATTTACCTTGTCCTTCCAATGGTATATTCTGTACGTTCACAGTGTGATCGACAGTTATATTAACAAGGCTATCGGACAAATTCAATACATTGCCTGGAAGCGAATTTTGAGCAACATGTTCATTAAATGCAGCAAAATCAAAGTTTTCGCTTATTATTTTATTGCTTAGATCATCCTGCTGGCCCAAATTTTCAGTTGTTTCCCCGTCAATAATTTCGTCTTCATCTGGGACTTCTTCTATTAGGTCAGCGTCACAAATTCCGATCATGTTAGTCGTTCGCTGGCTTATTAAGTGATCAACAAACCCAACTTCACCTGGAGGTTCAACATTGTCATTGTCTTTCAAAATATTTGAAATTGATTTTATATCGCGTAATGTCATATTCTCTTTGTACGATGTCAGAATGCGTTCCCGTAACTGTGCATATCTTTTCTCCAAACTTTCAAACTCCAAAACATCGGCATTGCAGGAATCGCACAGCAACTAAAAAACATTTATGTTAAATCCGACATTTTATAAATTCACGCAACTTACCGTGGAATGTGCAGAGTTTTCATCCAACTCTGTTTGCAATATCGATTCTAGTAATGCAGCTAGGGAACATTCTATTTGTCCATCCTCCCGTAGCCTTTCCTCAAACATCAACCAGGGCTCCTCGCCATCAACAAATTCATGGTCACATAAATAACAGCGAACCGACTCCATTGGACATCACCAATTAACGCCAATGTGGCTAAACCTACAGTAATAGCAATATTATTTGTCATTAAATCGATTATTATCTTAGGAACAATGTGTGGTTAATTTTTGTGAGAACAATGGGACAGACAACGGAAGAGTGAAAAACACATGTCTGCCAACATTGAAATTCTAAAGGAAATCGTGCAAAATTTGAACTGACCCTTTTTGTAGCTGCTTCTTCAAAATAATTTGCCGCCAAATATTTAAAAGGTGTAGGCAATGTTGTAATTTTTGTATTTAGTTACATTTATTAATAAAAGAATTAATAAAAAATCACTAGGACCGTAGACGCTGTTTATGTTGAATGACACAACAAAGAAAAACAGCTGGTTTTGAGAACTACAACAGAGTTGCATTTGGGTCAGGTAAAAGTGTTTAACCGTTGAAATTTGAACCATACCAGCGAACCAAATGACAGACGTTCGGTATATCTGGTCAAAGTCTGAAGTTTGGTGCGATGACCGACGTATATCCGAATTGTGCTCAATTTAGGTGTGTCTGGTTACTTTTCCAGCAGGAATTGTCCAGCAACTTCTTTCTGAGAGAGTAAGGTAGTTTTATTCTCTTTTGCAAGGAAAATGCGAAAAGTAAACAGACGCTATTCCTGCAGAAGCTTGCAACTAATCAGCTGATTTGTCAAAACAAACCAATTTGTCCCCCATAAGGAGAATTAAAACAAAGGAACCAATACTAATTTTACAAGTTTTTTAAATAAAAATGTTGGAAATAGTCTTTTATTTTCTTATTACATATTAACATTTACGTTTTTCACATTTTGTAAAGTTGTTCTCCAAAAACAATCAGTCTTGCTAATTCCAAAACAATATTTTCAAATTAAAATCACAAAAAGAAATAAATAAACAATAGAAAACATCTGATTGAATGTCGATGAATGAGAAGAAGAAGAGTTGCAAGAGATTGCAAGAAGAAATTTTTCCAGCAAGAATTTGCAAACTCTCACTGAAAGAACTGTCAAAATTTCTCTCTCCAACCGCTCTCTTTTGCAGAACTTTCGGGTTAACAGACGACTTCCAGTAACAATTTGTAACAATTGTTACAAATTTTAGGGTAACCAGACACACCTTTTATCTGAGGGGTTTTTCTTTTGAAATGTTTCCTCTTCCGATTGTGTGGTAACATTGGTTTTAAACTACCAAAACAGATAATAAATAGATTGCTTTTATCTCTCTTTAGAATTATTTTTGTCCTCACACATTGTGGATTGTTGCACAATAAAAAGGTAAGGTAAAGCTACCAGCTGATTACAATTTTTTTCTAAGTGTCCCCGACTTCTGCCAATTTTGTGTATGTATTTATAGTTGTGTTCCAGAACCTGCAAATCAGTACTAATTAGCACTAATTCTGCTACAACGCGTTCCCGTACTCCAAAAACTAGCAAAACTTGCAGCTCTCTCGAGAAAAAAATGGCGCTGAGTGGTGCACATTTCTGTTTGTTTTAGCTACATGAATTTGGCCGAGCAGAAATGTGCATATTGTAAATTTGACATTTAATTGGCAGGGCTAACAAGGTTGAAAATGTATTGATACATTCCAATAAAGAAAATGACCAACTTGAAAACTAAAGGAAAAACTAATATTTGTCGTGCAAAAAACAAAAAGAGAAAATATGGGGCAACTGATGTATTCACTTTTGGATGATTCCAGCAGTGAAGAGGACTGGCTGAATGAGGAATCAGATTATTAATTATTATTATAAATTATTAATTTTAACTTATCGTCTTCAATTCTCATTTTTTTAAATGTTGGCGCTCTTTTCAGTAAGGTTTCACCAGTCCGATTTAGGCTGTTTACTTTTGGAATTTTGACATTTTATCGCATTTCTGCTAATTTTCCGTTCCCTTATTTTTTGAGCAAACCTAAATGAGAATGACATTTCGAACTGTTCTCTCTTCTGCTAGTTTTACTATTAAAAAAGTACTGGAACACAACTTATGTTTTGAAAAATTTTTGAAATTTTTTTCAAAAACCAATGATTGGAAGACGCGTGGATTGGGAGACGCGCATTAAAGCTATTCGCCAGTTTTAGCATGGAATTTTATGATAGAGCTGTCCAGATGATATTTTTGAAAGAAAATCTAGACATTTCAATAATTTTTCCCGCTGTTTAACTGCTTTAAAAAATGGGGAAATATATTGAATAAATGAAAACAACTTGTTGCATGCAAAATTGACAGGAAGCGGGCATAGCCTCAGGGCTGTATTTCTGTAGTTTTACGAAGCTGTTCTACCTCCTTATTGTACCATGCATGGTACGAAGATGTTCTACCTCCTTATTGTACCATGGATTGTTATGTTGCCGTCGGGCATTTATTGTATGGTAAAAAACATGCGTTCGGTAAAAGTGAGTGAAGCTAGTCCACTTTTTAGATGAACAAAGCACCACATGTTTTTAAAGGTTTTTGTATTTTATTTAAATTATTTTCTTCAATTTTTATTTAAAAAAAGTAACTTTACTTTCTCTTAAGAATTTTTCTTCATTATGTTGCCCATCTATTCTTATAACCATGGTACAATAAGAACGTATGGTAGAGCTGTCTGCTGATTACACTTGTTTTCTAAGTGTGCCGACTTCTGCCAATTTTTTTGGTTTTGAAAACTTAAAACAAACTATTTTCAAAGAAGAAACGTACATTGCGTAGGGTAAGTGTGCCTAAGTTCATCATGTCCCAGTAGTCGGCACTTTTTATTTTTAAGCCCAAATAAATGAAACTATTATAACTAAATGTATTTTGTTTACTTCAAATATATTGTCAGCTATCTTTGTGCACAATTTCTCTAAGAAAAGATGATTTATTCTAATAAAAATTAAATTTTTGTCTGTGAAGGTCTTCAACAATCCATATGCTTAATAAAAGTACAATAAAGACGTCTAATCAGTTTAACTAAACAAAAATATTATATTTTAATGAATTAATTTATTATTATTAATTATTCTTACAAAAAAATTTGGTTTGCCGACTGTTGGAACATGCCATACCGCCAATTGGCAAGTGGTGCCGACTACTGGCAAAAAAGCATTGTTTTAATAAAACTACAAATTTATGAAATTTATTAAAAGTTAATAAATAAAGTTTTATTTATTATTGCAAAAACTATACAAAATTTCGAATCTGAATAAATAAACTTTGTAATAATTGAAACATTTCAATCAGAATGGTGAGCGATTAAAAACGCGAAATTCCTAAAAGTGCCGACTACTGGTACACTTACCCTATAATGAATTTAATCTGTTGGTAGTTATGCAATATTATATAGTATAGGATGTGATACTTAAGCAGCGTGGCGCAAGTTAATTTAAATTAAGATACACAAATAAAAAAATTAGAATAGGGTATTCCTTGTCCCTGTACATTTTGAGGCATATAAAAATGAACCTAAAATAATATACATACACGCGTAATCGTATAATTCGGCCTAGCAGTTTAGATATATGAAGAACACACCCTTAATTGCTGATACCGTATAAATGCACACACGTTTTTGTATTAATTTGCCAAAAGAAATTTGTGTTGAAGTTGAAAGCATTAAATGAATTATTTTTATTACCCTGTCATATTCTTTATATATAAAAAGTAACGATTTTTTATGCAAAACCCGGCAATGTATATTTGGACAAGAAATTTTAAAACATATTTATACGAAAGCACAATAGTTCTGTTTTTCGATTCATTTTAAATTGCTGTGTTCTTAATTTCTGTTATTTGCGGACAAATTGCTTTGTTTTAATAAATCAGTTGATTGTTTGCAACTTTTTGCAGGGATTAAGTCTGTTTACTTTTCACGGTTTTCTTAAGCTGCCCTCAGACACACCAACAGTTGGCCCAACTTGTCACTTTTAAGTTGTATGAAAAAGTTGGTCGGTCTCCTCGCACGTACCAACTTTTCATACAACTGTTGTACCAACTTTTCATTTACAAAGTATTTTTGAAGCGTCAACATGAACTCGGATGCTCTTGCGCTTTTTTATTTTAGTTTTTTTTCTTGTTTTGTTTTATGATTATGTTTTGTTTTCGTTTCTCTTCTTGCGCTCAGCGCTCAGCTTATGTATGTGCTGCTTCGCCAAAGTCAAGACATAAATGAAGAAAACACTGAAGTTGGTACAACTTGCCCTCGCACGCACCAACAGTTGGCCCAACTTACGAAATTATCAAAAATTGATTTCAATTTTTTTTTATTTTCTTGGCTTAATATGTCATCTTTATTTGTTTATGTATGTATTTTCTTTTCAATAACAAAAAAATTGTTTAGAAAACTTTCAAATTCGGATGTTTTCAAAATGTTTATTTCATCGTATGCATCGACAAAATCTAGAGTTTTTGTATAATAATCTATTAGAGATATATAGAACCTGGTTTTGAAAAGAAGTGTTGACCTTTCATTCAGTTTTCGCGGTTTTCAATTATTTATTCAAAATAAATGCAACAAGTTGTTTGATTTTTTTATTGTTTTGATACTAATTCTGACATTACAAGCCAAACAGGTAGACCTCTATACTTGCAATTTTTTCAAAGTTGGCCTACCTTCTCTTCATTGTACCATGTTTCCAACCAACTTCAACCAACTTTGGAAAAAGTTGTACAACTAGCCCTCAGACGTACCAACTTGTCACAAGTTGGGCCAACTGTTGGTGTGTCTGAGGGCAGCTTTACAAAAGTCAATAAAACTGCCTCAATCTCTCAAAAAGCATATACAATTTGTAGTCATAGGCTATAGTACCCATTACAATTTCGGAAAAACATGTCTCTAATCTGATAAAAGTGGAAACAATTCCTGTGAATAATGCCGCTAGTATCATCACAATACTAAATAAAGTGAGGTGCAGTTATATGGGGCTATATGAAGACGTGGACCCACATAGATAGATTGTATTACCATTTACAGCTTCAAATACGAAATTTGCTATTCACCTATATAGACCTATGTAGAGAATTCTCTTCCAGGGGGTTTATTACTCAGAAGAAAATCCTTGAGAACGTTTTCAGACAATTTCATTGAAAACTGTGGATAAAATCATTAAAATACCGAATATCGGTGCTATATGATACCGTGAACCTATAGCCCATGTTCGAATTCCACCTGCCTGCAGATTGATCTGTGCAAAATTTTAGCTTCATATCTCAATTAGTTTTGATTCTAACGTGATTACAACAGACGGACGAACGGTCTTAGCATTTTATGCTGATATATACTTTGTTAGGTCTAAAATAATTACGAATGAATGATGAACTTATACGAATGATAGGTATAAAAATCTAAATTCCAAAAATGTAAATTTTTTTTTAAAAATTTTTTTGTTTGACACTTGTTTTACGTACAAAAACAAATTTATTTATGATTGTTGTTACATTTGTTGTACACCAACACTTGATGTTACCTGTATTATTCTACCATGATGTAATATATAGGATTTTCGGTAAAAACTCATTGATAAAATAAAATTGGTATAAAATACAATAATGCAATCAAAGGAAAAAACAAATATATAAGTCTGTGTTAGCAAAAAATTTGAATCGTAAGTAAAATCATATTTTTTTTTATTCATCATATCACACGGGAATAAGCATAGATAATAAAAACTACACTACATATGTAAAACGCATTCTGTCTTACACTACCTTTACACGGTGGCATTTTTAACCATGCCATTTATTTTTGTTGGTAAAAGGTGTAGAGAAACAAGGATAGAAAAAAATGGCACGATAGGCCACCGCACAGGGCTACATGCCATTTTCTTTGCATTTCTCTTTTGCTTCTTCCGAATTTTTTATGATTTTGACATTTCATATCGTTTCTTCATTGTAATTTTTGATGCGTTTCTTTTATTGTGATGTGTTTAGTGATTGAATTGTATAGTGAATTATATGAAAATTAATTGGAAGTTTTAAAAAGTAAAAAAAGAAAGTTAAAATAAAAGTTAATAATTTTAATAAATATGTGAACCAGATCGACAATAATTTTTTCCATCATTTCTTCTTTAGAATCACACATTTAATTTTAAATCACTTCTTTATAAATATCTGTTACAAACAATTAGCACAACAATACAGCTCTATACGAAATACTGAATAAAATAAAATGTCAGCAAAAATGCCAAGCACTAATATCATAAAATTCCACCGTGTAAAGGCGCGAAGATTTAGGCAGAAATTTTAAAAGAGAATTGATAAAAATGCCATGTAAAAATGCCACCGTGTAAAGGCAGTGTTATTGCACCTTATGGGTTTGCAAGGTAATAAAATAATTGATAATATCGGTCTTGTGCACCCGTAATAAAAAAAAATAACCGAATAACCACCAATCAGCTGAACAAATGTTTGCAACAACAACACCAGCAACATAATAATAGAACTTTGCTGTTGTCAATGGGAAAGAATGCAAAAGTTGAATTACAATGAACATTAACTGAATGAGTTGGTTACTGCAGAACAATTATATGGCATTTGTTGACGAAAACAGCTTCTAACCGTGTAATTGTAAATCTGAGTTAATAGATCAACGTTCATTTGCGGTAGCCGTTTTACAGAATCATCAATTTCTGGTCTAAAAATAAATGGAGAACCTCACGAGCGATGGCATAATGGACTACAACGATTATGATTGGTCACCAAATTATGGCAACTTGCCTATGGAGGTACGCATGAATAGGAGATAAATATAATTTTTTATTTAGGCGTTTCAAGTCGAATATATAGGTAAACCTTTCACGTGATTATGACGCACCTACTTGATTGATCTATGTGTATATCTGCATTTCATTCAGTTTTATCTTGAAAGTGAATGCATATCAAAATATAACAATCAATCTGAACAGACAAAGAAATAAATTGAAGCTTTGTTTAGGTGATAAGTCATGTGCCATAACCCAAAGCATTTACAGTTCTAAAAGTTTTTTATAGATACCACCGGCAGTTCAATGTAATAAAAGTGATTTTACAATAAAGATACAATTTTTATACCTTTTTGACTACTTTAAAAACCTGTCCTTTATGTAATGCCTACAGAGTATTTGTTTTTTCTAATATTCCATTCTGGACCAACTTTAAAGATTTTTTAGACGTACAAGCTATGAAAAATCTATGTACTTGCACCTCTATATATTTCCAATATTTTTATGTTCTGAAACTGCAAGAATGTGAAACTACGTTAACCGAGTTTTTCTTTTTGATATCAAAAAAAAAAAAAAAAAAAAAAAAAAAAAAAAAAAAAAAAAAAAAAAAAAACAAAACCGACTGGTTCTGGAACAGAGCAAATGTAAACAAAACAATTTCAATAAAATTTGAAAAATGTACATTTTTGGAATTTGGTTTATTAAATTCAAGGTGCAGAACAAATAATCCTAAAGTTAAGAATACATAAAACGTTTTTTTTTTGACAGGATTATGGCCGAAATTGAACTAAGTCAACCGAAAGCTTTTTGTTTTTTACGAAGAAACCAGCCGAGGACTTAACCCAGTCAAAAAAAAGTTTTATGTATTTTCATCTTTATGTTACCCAAATACTTTTTTATTGGATTGAGAAGCACCTAATTTCTGGCCAAACTTTATTTTGGAAGGAACTTGAAAAATTCGTCGAAAAATACGGTTTAAATGAAAACCGTTATATAGGGGCTATACGAAGAATTTAAAAAAAAATCCGTTAAATAATTTCATTATATCAAGAAACCGAAAAAGGAAGGTACCGTAATATGTGGGGTATACGAAGACGTGGCCCTTCATAAAGAATTTTCTGTGATATGTTGAAGTATCCATTACCAACTTTATATACGAAATTTGGACGAAATCCGGTCTTAAATGTCTAAAAGAACGAATGAATGGTGAATCAAAACACCACATAACTAGGAAGCACTTTAGATGTGGGAATTGTAAAAATGTTTCTGTTAAGAGTTTTTTTTTGTGGGAAGAATTTCAGAGGTGCTTCGGACCCCTCGTCTTACCCCAGTGCTGTGCTGTAACATATGGACCTGATGTGCTTGGGTAATGTACAAAACAATTTGCCATCGTGGGGATGTTGAATATTTGTGGACACTACGTCCAATTTTATTTAACGCATAAAGGTAAGGTCGACTTAGCTGTCAAGGTCTGTTTAAAAGGTGACAAGGCAGTACAAGATCTTTTGTTGCTTAGCTCTCTCTTCTTCAGCTGTCAAAACAAATTGTTATTATTAAAAAATTATAAATATGACCAGCGTAAAATTCTAAGACGAGTTAGCCCTATTGGTCTGTTATAATCACGATAGAGTCAAAACGAACTGAGATAGGAAGATCAAATTTTGCACCGATCTGTCTTTTGTCTGCAGGCAGGTCAAGTTCCAAGATGGGCTATAACGGTCCACGATATCGTATAGCGACCATATAACGGTACCCCCCAATATTCGGTATTTTGAATTGTCTGAAATTCTACACAAGGAATTCTTGGTGAGTACTTTACCCCCCCAAAGAGAATTGTCTTTATAGATCCACGATATCGTATATCCCCTATATATTGGTTCCTCCCGATATTCGGCATTTTGATAATTGTAGGCTATTTTTTTACGGAACTTGTTTGAAAATCCTTACAAGGAGTTTCTTCTGAGTACTTTATCCCCTGAAAGAAAAATTGTCTATATAGGTTCACGTTTTAGTATAGCACCCATATAACTGTACCCTCAGATATTCGGTATTTCCATGAAATTTATCTACACTATTAACCGGAATTGTTTCAAATTTCATATTTGGAGTTTGGAATCGTTACTACAGCTTATGATTATTTATGAAGGACCGCGTCTTCGTATAGCCCCCGTATATATGAACAAACTTTACACTTTTTGTAGCGAAATAAATCTTTAGATAAACATAGAACACAATTTTCGCGTTTTGTGGTTATCTATTCAAAATCAATGCAGCAAGGTGTTTTCTTTATTTGATAGCAGAGGATTTGCTACATTTGTTTTTAAAGTATTTCTGGCATTACAATCAATACAGGTAGGCCTTTTTACCCGCAAAAAAAAAAATCCAACTTAGCCTACCTTCTCTTCATTGTACCATGATACATACTTTTGCACAGAACTTGTGAGTTGTTGTGAAGATTTTAGTGAACTCGATGAACGCTGTGCGTATCATTTTTTTTTTATCTAAAATCATTATATGCTTTTGGCAAAACATTCCTCCGATATGGTACAGTCACTATTTTGGCAAGCTACCCAACACAAAAGTATTTCAGTGGCGGTTCTATGCTTCTCATAAACATTAGATGATCTTTGTATCTGTAGAAACAGGTTACGTCTCAAAATGTGGTGTAAACATGGAAGCTTGTGTGGCTATTTTTTTATTTAACAAATATTGAAACGATTAACAGCTTCATTGAAAAGGCGTGTCGGACTTTTTACACAAAACTAGAATCCTAAAAACAACTGTATTCCCATTGCATTTCTGATTTAAGCTCCTAACGTTTCGGTCGCATTTTCACCAGAATCGTGAAAAATAAAAAAAGGCAGGCAAGTTACCATGTCAAGTTCTACCATGGTACAATGAAGAGAATGTAGAACAAACAAAAAAATATGTTCTATGCGCCTCTAAAGATTTATTTCGCAACAAAAAGTGCAAATTTTGTCCATACATACGTTGTAATAGCATTTTAATTACAACTAAATTTGAAAATTTTCTAAAGAATTGTTTTAAAGTATACGCACACATACACAACAAAGGATGACATGTTAAGCCAGAATATCATTTTACCATGGCTGCTAACTTATAATAATTGTACATTGAATGACGCTTAGGAAAAAGTGTAACCATAAGTTTCTTAGCATTAAAGCAACACTGCATTTTCTATTGCTGAGCATTAACAGCTTATCATGTTCATTGTTTTGTTATGTATATCTGTCGACGGTGGGTAGCGAACTTAAAACCGTTGGGTGCAACATACTGGTAATGCAAAAATAGTTTGTTAACATTACCTTGCAATAAGTTATTCGGCTTATTTAGCTCCCAAAATATTCGAACTAAATTACAAATTATCAAGATGAATAATCGACTTACATATATCTTTGCAGCTTGTGTGTCTTGATTTTAAGATCACATTTCTCCAGTAAAATTGATATTTTTCGTCATTAAAATGTTGTACAAAAATGTTGCTCACAAAATACATGTATAGTTCTCGCGTACAAAGAAACGAAATTGTAATGTTTTCGTGGTCTCTTTAAACTTTTATTTATTTTATTTATATATTTATTTATTTATTAATCCATTTGTAATTAAAAGGCCTAATAGACCGTACATAATTATTACATAGCTTACCTTAAACCTGAGCTAAAAACAATTCAAAAATAAAAGTAAATAAATTCACAATTTCATGATATATACATGCGTACATACATAATACTACTATATAAAGTACTTATTATTATTATTGGCTTCCCAGCCATAGAAATTTGAATACAAGGTGATTAATGTCCATGTTAACAATAACTTCTAGATTAGATAGCAAAAAATCAAGTTATAAAACGGCTACATATAACAATTAGGATGCAAGATGATGAAGCAGTTTTAATCGAAAAACATTGTTAGAATGTGAAAAAACTCTTAATTACTGGGGTAATGTGTTCCAACATCGCGCGACCCGCACCAGAAACGATTGTGCATAATCATTTCTATAGATCCTAGGAATAAAAATTTGAGGATTTCTTGTTGAATGAGAAAATGTGAAACTCATCCTCAAAGAAACTGGTCTACCACTTCTTATTATATTATAAAATCATGCGAGATTACGACAGGTAATTAAGTCATTAAATGAACATCCGATAAACCGTTTCACATATTCAGATATATGTTCTCTTCCACGGACCTTATATGCAAACCGAACTATAGAATTTACGATACTTCGTAAGTGGAGAAGGTGAATACCAGTAGCACCGGACACTACCTCAATGCCGTATAATATTGTAGACATTAACAGAGCAGCACCAACTCTTCCTTTATATAGCAAGGCAAATATAGGTTACCGTCGTAAATAAGACCACACCTTCCCTGATATGATGTCAATATGATTCTTAAAAGACAACTCATTATCAATTACCACTCCTAAACATTTATGATGGGAGACAAATTCCACATCATCATTAAGCAACTTTATATTAATAGTATGATTTTTAAATGCTCCAAACATCATGGCTTTGGTTTTGGTTGGATTTATTGTAAGTAAATTCATGGATGACCAATATGAAAACTGAACAAGGCACGTATTAATGCGATTTTCAAGCACTGAGGGCGACTCACGGTCACCACTAAAAAGGTGACTCAGAATCAGTGACATCCTTAAGAACATTCACATACAAAATAAATAAAAGTGGTCCTAATACCGACCCCTGCGGTATGCCACTATATAGCCTACACGCCGCGGATGAAAAATTAAATATATTTTTAAGTTTATTTATCATAATGATGTGATCTACGGAATTAAAAGCTTTTGATAAGTCCAGAGAAACAAGTACACTTAATCTGCCCTAATTGATATTCTGGCGTAAATTATCCGTTGCCTTTATAAGCAAGTGTGTAGTGCTATGCCCTCTTCGAAATGCATATTGAGTGTCAGATATTAGACTCGAAGTATATTCCACAATTTAATTTTTCATTATAATCTCTACTATCTTAGATACAGATGGTAGTATAGAAATTGGGCGGAGGTCGTCTGGGCAACTAACATTATTCGATTTTGGGATTGGGACAACACGAGCTTTTTTCCATGCAAGTGGAAAAGTTGAGCTTACTAATATATAGTTCATGAAGTGTAAAAATATATCCATGACGTACGGGTAAATTAACTTAATAAATCATATGGGTATCATATCCACCCCTACTGATTTAGAGTGAATTTTGTGCAATGCTTCAAAAACTTCAGCCTCCTCAACGCATCGAAACGAAAATAACGTGTTAGAATCTACATCCTGCATAAACTCCACTTGCCCTGCAGGTCTATGGTCAATGTTAATAAAGGAACAATTTATGTCATTCACATCAATATCAAAAACAGAATGATTTTGATTAACATAACCTGCGTTCCGCAACAATTTCCAAACGCCAGATGTATCTAACCTGAAAAGCATTGCTGCAAAATATTTCTTCTTTGCTCTTCTAATAACGGTCCTTGCCCTGTTTCTATATCTACAGTAAACAGCCCAAGTCTCCTGACAACGGTCTAATTGAAATGCATTAAAAGCCAAATCTCTAACGGATCTAGCAAATGTGACATCGCTAGCCCTAATCCATGTTTCTGTTCGAAGTTGTACTCTTTTCCTAACAACAGGTACACAGGTAAATAAGCTATCAACTAGAGAACTAACAAACATCAAATGCTCTCAAGTTCACATCAGGTTCACTTAGCAGTAAATTCATGTCAAAAGCACGCAAGATCAACAGAAATCCATCCCAATCCATGTTGTTGTAATCTCGGTACTCCGGGAATTCAAGCGGCTTATAATAACTTAAGGAAAGAGACGCGAAAAGTAGGGCATGGTCATAGACAGACGGACACTGAATTTGATCACTAAAGTTAACAAATGAAGCATCACTTACCAACATGAAGTCTATTAATGAAGTTGTTCTTGTTCTTACATCAAAATGTGTGGGCTTAGAATTGTGAACAATTGACAAATTATATCTTATGCATACTAGACTTAGTATCATCAAACAGGTTATTATTAAAATCACCAAAAATAACTATATTTTGGTGCTCCGAAAATAAATCCATATGATGACACTCAAAATCATATAAATTACCAGTTGGTAAATAAACCACGCCAAACAAGATTTCAATATTATCAAAAAACAAATTAACAAAAAGCGATTCACATCTAGGAAAAGAAGTTTTTAACACCATTTTGTAGGAGAGACCATTAAGAATAAATAAATCTACACCACCTCCTCTACCTGGAGCCTGACGATCATTCCGGCAAAGTCTATATCCAGGTAAAGAAACGGCTTTATTGCAAATCTCATTCATGAGCCACGTTTCTGTCACAGCAAAAATATGGAACACATTGCCCTTTAAAATAAGTCTCAGTTCATCAAGTTTGTTTTTAGGCCTTATGCTCCTGCAATTTAGATGAGCCACTTTTAAGTTATCACTATACGGACACAACACGGATTTAATGTACGAGTTATCGTTAATTACTGGACCAAGATTTTCACTAAATGACATTACGACAGAGCCAACAATTAAAAATGGGGAGCCAAAAAAAGATATTTAATAAAAATTTTGTAAAATACAATAATATTTCCATAAAGAAGAACAATATTATAATAACATTCATGCAGTTCTTCACTTTGAATATAAGTTCACAATTCAATTCATTAATAAAGATTAAGTAGAAATGTCAAATACTGAAGTTGTATTACACTAATTTTGAACTTGTTCAGAGTTATTTAAAATGAAGAACATTTCTTAGCATCTGCAAAAATTTCTTAGCACCTGCAAAAATTTGGTTATAACTTCTTCTCGGCGAAGCCTTATACAGACCTTATACAGGTCGTTAAGTTAAACTCTATTTGACAGATCACCACCTTCACCTTTAATTATGTCCGACACATTAAGAGTCCTGGTTCTGAAATACTCCTTCATGATTAAATCGCGGGCAATAACATTATTCAGCTTAACTACGATCTGTTTTCCGTTGCTTATGTAGCCAATATAGTTGATATCATGAGTAGAAAGCGACACATTAAAAAATAAGCTTAACGCCATTACCTGGGCAACCAAACTTTTACAAGAAGAAGAAATATCATCTCAAAAATATGATGCACAAGCTGTCTGTCCTTCGTCCCCAAAAGTAATTTTCCATCCCTCAGACTTTGACATGCGATTTGTGTCACAGTGTAAAAAGATTAAAAAACAAGTATTTTCTACTATTACAAAAATAAGCTTAATATAATATTATTTTCGTAAGCTTATTCTACAATTTCAAATATCAGCTTATAAATAAGGATTCAATTTCGATTATTCTATACTTTTTACACAAACATTTTTTAATTTTTTCCCGAGATTTTCTTAAGCATAAGGTTTATTTATGTTCATAAGCTTATTGAAATATTATTCTTAAGCCATTTTGGTATGTTGGGATATTTCCTCGACTACATGTGCTTCAATGTGCAAATATAATATTTTTAATATAATTTTATTTTATGTTCAAAATATTTTAGTGTATTTTTATTGTATGCTCAAATTTACTAACAGAAAACCATAAAAACAACCAAATCGTTAAATTTACTTAATAAGCAGATGACATTTCGGTAATGTTCGATTGTAGCTTGTAATATTCGATTGTATATTTCTAGATAATTTTGCACATATTCCAATATTTACGTCACTCAGATCTACAGGCCGCTGGAGCTACGTGTGTACGTTGGCGCGAAGCACTTTTCATTGGCGAATTCAATCGCAACATACAAGTTCATTTCGCTAAAGTTTGCCTTTCTGACCGATTACCACCGGCGAAACATTTCCTAAAATGTCAGAGGCCATATCGATCCTTTTGTTTGGAAGAGGTTACATTTGGTCAAGCTCAGAATCTTTTGGAAAAAATTGGGCACACGGCTGTTGAAATAATATTTGATAATGCAGACATCGGGGACAAGCAATTCTACGCTTTTATGCAGCAGCTGACAAAATTGGAGTCTCTAACAGTGACTCGTTGCTCGCCACTCTTTATGTCTGGTTCGTTTTTAGAAGGCAACACTGCAGATGTGGCTTGCGGTTTTGCGAATGTTCGCCACCTCTCCTTAAAGGATAATCAGTACCTTTCGGATGCAATACTTTTACGTTTGACTTCGTTGATAAAAAAGTTGGAATCGTTTGATATGTCAGGATGTCACATAGCATATCACAACGCTATTCATAGACGATTTTATCCCAATGACTCTATGTCAAATAATCCCAGCGAGTCAATATTAACATTCAAATTTATTGCGAAAGTGGCTAACAATCATAGAAAGCACTTGAAAGAACTTAACCTTAGTCATACCATGATGAGTGGGCCAGCATTACAATCTCTAGCGCCCAGTGAAAATGATGAGTTTGGTCTCAATCTCGAAAAGCTGTACTTAACGGGTTGCCAACAAATCAATACGAGTGGGATCAAGCAATTTCTGCCATCTCAGTCTAATCTAGTAACTTTAGATTTGGCTGACACACTTTGTGTAAACGATGATTGTTTGGCATGCATTGTAAGTTCACTGACCCAGTTGAAAGTGCTGAATGTTGCTGGATGTGCTGGCATAACTAATGCAGGAGCCATTCTGTTGGCGGACGCAAGCCATCTTCAAGATTTAAATATATCTCGGTGTGATGGCATTACAACAGATGGACTAGCCAACGGCATTGCCAGGCAACCAAATCATGTATTACGGCGCCTCAACATGTCCAATCTAATAGTTTGTGAAGAAGGCATTATGTGCATAGCACGAAATTGTCCTGAATTAAGGGTACTGAATGTCGGTCATTGTGTTAATGGGGTCACCGATGAATCAGTTCAATGTATTATCCAACACCTCCGCTGGCTAAGAGAACTCTCACTGGAGGATTGCTTTCGTCTTACAGATGCAGCTCTCACCGGTATAGACATGTCAAAGCTGGAAATGAAGAGTTCAGCGAGCTCCTCGTCCATAGGTACATTAGAAAATTTTCATCCGACTCCTCCATCATCACTGCACGAACTAGAGGCAATCCGATCTTCATCGCCGCATTCTATGAAAATATCTTTGCGTAGCAAAGCCGAAGAAGATATTGTAAGAGATGCTAATCGCAAACGTGCATTGTTTGCCGTTTACGAATTAAATCTAGTTGATGATGCCACAGTTGATGGTTACAGCATACAACAGCTTAGGGGCTTGCGATCACTTAACCTAAAGGGCTGCAATAAAATATCTGATGTATCTCTTAAATACGGTCTCAAATTGGTTGAATTGCAACGGCTTTGCTTGTCGTATTGCCAGCAAATTTCTTCACTTGGAATGGAAGCGTTGGTATTAAATTGTCCATCTATCGAAGAATTAGATTTATCGGATTGTTACAACATCAATGACAAAACAATGCAACTGGTCACTGCCAAATTAAAACGACTGCGTTCACTCCACATAAGCGGTTGTTCTCAACTTACTGAGCATAGTTTGGATGCAATCCTGGTTAATTGTAAATGCCTGCAGGTGAGTGGTGGATAGGAACTTTGTACCCTAGTTAATATTTGAATTTTTTCAGACTCTTTCGGCTTACCGCTGTCGCAGCATGTATGTGGCCATTGAAGATCGTCTATCAGTTTTGCCAACATTGCGCAATTTAAATGTGGAAAATTCAAGGAATTTTGATAATGGCGACATTTTTCGATTAAAGAAGAGGCTTGACTACTGATATTTTGCGGCTATTTTTGTTGTTTTTGTATTGTATTACTTTCAGTTATATGGATTTCACTAATCCTCTAAATGAGTGTGGTATATAGCCATGACAAGGAGACGTCTGTAGATGTATATGAATATGTTTGTCATCAATGAAATTTGGGAGCATAAATACATAGATGTATAGTATTTTTTTCGGTCAGAACTTGGAATTGTACTGATGCTTTAACAATTAACTGTGATTAAAATATAGTAAATATCTAGGCCTAAATCTAAATAGCAAGAATTATTTCTACATTTTTGTTCATTTAATTCATTATATTTACTAATATGTTTACATATTTATGATCATCGTCATAAATATTAAGCTGTGTCGTATATTATAATCATGTTGTTCTTCTGTATATTACTGAAAAATTGTGCAATCATCAATTGTATTGAGAAATAAATGTTAATGTGATAACTGAACTTGTTGATATGTTAATAAAATTGTTTGGAATTATGATCATTCACCACATTGTTTTAAATTAGATAGAACAACAAGAAAGGTTGTTCCATGGTACAATTAAGACATGGTAGGCTAAGTTGGAAAAATGTGCAAGTTGTATGGATCGTAATGTCAGAATTACAATCAATTACTATCAATTTTCAAATAAACAAAATAACTTGTTGCATTGATTTTGAATAAATTAACGATTGAATTGAAGATTGAATGAAATGTCAACACTTCTTTCAAAATCATATTCTATATTTCTCTAAAGATTTAATTCGCTACAAAAAGTGTTAATTATATAAATATACACTTTGTATTGAGCATTTTGATTACAACTGAATCTGAATATTTTCTCAACAATATGTATATAACTTAAAAGAACACACAAATGCAAATTAATTATTTGGCATGTTAATGCAATGCACAAATTAATTTGGCATGCATCAGTGCCCTACCTTAAACTTCGAGAAAACTAGAAAAAATTCAACTCTGTACTTGAGCCAAAGACTGTCAAAAAAATTTAAAAAATGCAACAATTAGTTTTTTTATTTTACATTTTTTTCAAAAATTACTATATTGGATAAAACCCAATAAACATGAATGGAATATTTACCACAAAATTGAATCCAAGATAAAGGGACAATATTGTTTTATCCCCAAATTATACATTTTGTTGCCCGATTACGTGGAAATATGCATTGCTGTTGCATCTTAATTTGAAATAATTTCAAATTATTTTCTATTTCTATTCAAAACAATACACACCGTTACACGTATTTAACAAGAAGTTTTGTTCTACCTTCTGTAATTGTGCCAATACGTTTAGATGCTCCTCCCGACTGATATAGGCAAACGTATTTTTTATACTATTTGTAATAAAATATTTGATATCGAGGTTTTCTTTTACATCCACTTTCGTACCGATGTACAGTAAAAGGCATAAGGGTGGCTTCAAATTTCAAGTTTTAAAAATTTAAATGAATTAGAAGTCAAAACATCGCAGAAAATTTTAATACAATTAAAAAATCCCTCGTTTTTATGCTTATTGAGCTTCGTATGCAATTTTCGTACAAGTCTGTCAGCTCTCATATATATGTTTCAGTATATATAATGTAAATAGTGCCGATGCCATGATTGTATAATCATCCGCATAATACTATTGATAGGTCAAGAGTTGCCGACAGTGTTCTATGTGCGGCCGGTTCTGGTCTAATTGTCGACTGATATGTGTGAATATGGCGTGCAATGCTGTTGTAGTGCTGTGTTGTGGACGGTTGACAACTGTTAACCGTGTTAATGGTTGACAACTGAATAACTTTATCTGATATTGGGGAGGAGTAAAGCCTCAAAAGTCTTTGCCACTGACGACAAAAGCGAAATTGGCCTGGCATCTTTGAGGGGAAACGGAACTTTACGACAGGATGAATTCGCTTACGCCTAACGCCGTTGCAAGAAGGCAGCAGCTTTTTAGTATCATGCAGATTCATCAGCATCACCGTCGTTGGCATATCTACAAAAATAATTTGACTGGGCTGAGGAATGACCTGTACATCACACATGGCACCGACATAATGTTATCAAGGACATGAATCAAGCTAAGAACAAATTAAATTTAATCTTCCTAAGTAAATTCTGCGGATAAGATATCACGGCGGTGATAATAGGAAACACTCTGACCGAGTCATGCTCTACATATCCCTCTAACTGCTGTACGAACAGCCGACCAGTCAGGTCGGTCGAAATTAATTAAAATCATGATACAATAAGGAGGTAGAACAGCTTCGTAAAACTACAGGAATACAGCCTTGAGGATATGCTCGCTTCCTGTCAGAATTATTCAAAATTATAGGCATTCATCATCATTTAGGCATCATTTATTTTATATGTTTTGTTCATTTTTAAAATGAGTCGAATAGCGCGAAAGATGAATGAAATGCTAGGATATTCTCTCAAAAATATGATCCTCAGTTTTCAATCTTTCAATTCCATGGCAAATCTGGTTAATATCATTAATGTGTGCCCCGCAATTTAAGTTTCTTCCCATCATTGATTTTGAAAATATTTTGTTTTTATTTTTCAAAACAACAAATACATACCAAATTGACAGAAGTCGGGCACCCTTAGAAAAAAATTGTAATCAGCTGGTACCTCTACCTTACCTTTTAGAGGTACCAGCTGATTACAATTTTTTTTTTCTAAAAAAAAAAAAAAAAAAAAAAAAAAAAAAAAAAAAAATCAATCCCACGGCGGCCGGTTCTATGTACCGGATTGACTCGGAGGCACATTTCTCCGACCAGGGGCCGCCAACCCAGCAAATACATGTTCGTGTTCGTCCATTTTTCTGATGTGGGAGCAACATTACCCGGAATGTTTGCTCCGTATTCTCTTGGTCCGAGCCGGGATCGAGACCAACCCCGGACCATGGTTCTGCTCCGTTTGTCGTAATCGCATCCACCACAGATCGGTTTCGGTGAGATGCAACGGATGCATGGAGTGGGTGCATTTCCGGAATTGTTCCGGCCTAAACCGGATACAGGAGTATAGCGATAGGGACTACATTGCTTCCTGCTGCGTCAATGTAGACCCCAGTGAGTCTTCATCTTCGGCGTCCTCATCGTCGTCGCAATATGAGACTCCCCCGCAATCTCCTCAACAGCAATCTAAAAAAAAAAAAAAAAATCAATCCCACGGCGGCCGGTTCTATGTACCGGATTGACTCGGAGGCACATTTCTCCGACCAGGGGCCGCCAACCCAGCAAATACATGTTCGTGTTCGTCCATTTTTCTGATGTGGGAGCAACATTACCCGGAATGTTTGCTCCGTATTCTCTTGGTCCGAGCCGGGATCGAGACCAACCCCGGACCATGGTTCTGCTCCGTTTGTCGTAATCGCATCCACCACAGATCGGTTTCGGTGAGATGCAACGGATGCATGGAGTGGGTGCATTTCCGGAATTGTTCCGGCCTAAACCGGATACAGGAGTATAGCGATAGGGACTACATTGCTTCCTGCTGCGTCAATGTAGACCCCAGTGAGTCTTCATCTTCGGCGTCCTCATCGTCGTCGCAATATGAGACTCCCCCGCAATCTCCTCAACAGCAATCTACGCAGCAGCTGACGCCACACATTGCTGTTCAAGTTCCGGACAATGCATCATTTCTCCAATTTAATTGTGATGGTCTCAGAGGTAAGATCAATGAAATTGTAAGCTTTATGAGTCGGAAGAACATCAAGGTCGCAGCGATCCAGGAGACGAAGCTGAGTACCACCTGCAGGCTTCAAAGTTGTGATGGATACAACGTACTAAGGAAGGATCGCTCCAGAGGTGGAGGTGGAGGATTAGCGTTCCTATTGCACCACTCTGTCCAGTACAGACCTATCTCGCCTGAGCTTGACTCTAGTGACCCGTACATGGAATGTATGGGGGTAGCGGTCAAGTGTGGAACCGCCGAGGTAGAGGTGCTCAACGTGTACATTCCGCCGGTAAATAGCTGTGCCCCACGTTATATGCCTAATATCAGTTCACTACTGGTAGGCAATAACCGTCTGGTGCTAGGGGATTTCAATGCCCATCATGAATTATGGCATTCCGTCCTAGGTAATGACCAGAGAGGCATGGCGCTGGCTGAGCAAATCGATAGCTCCACGTTTTGCACAGTGAATGAGGACGCGCCCACCAGAATAAGGGGAGACTGCCACAGTTCTCCGGACATATCCATCGTGTCCCCAGGTCTGACGAATGACGTAACTTGGCAATCAGTCATTTCTCTAGGCTCAGACCACCTCCCCATTATTATCGCCATCAATAGACCACCCGACTTCATCGACTCTGAACGCCGCACTTTCCTTAACCACGGGAAAGCTAATTGGCAAGAATTCAGAGAGTATACCAATCGCCGCTTCAGAGAACTGCCCAACCCATCTGATGTTCAGGTAGCAGATAGGTGTTTCCGGGACATCATCAAAGCTGCAGCCGCTCGCTATATACCTGCTGGTCGAATACCTGAAATAAGACCAAATTTCCCAGCAGAGGCAGCGGGATTAGCAAACGAGCGAGATGAGCTTCGCCGTACTAACCCTAATAACCCCAGAGTCAGAGAACTTACTCTGGAGGTAAACAGGTTAGTAAGTGAGCATAAGCGGAAAAAGTGGCTAGAACATCTGAAGCATTGCAACATCGGTACCGGAACGAGTAAATTGTGGGCAACGGTTAAGTCGCTTTCGAACCCTGGAAAAAAGGACGATCGGACATCTGTCTCATTTAACGGCGTAGAAGTGACAGATCCGAAGAGGTGCGCGTGTTATTTTAACCGGCAATTTGTAGAGCACCCCGAGAGTGACAGGGCGAAGAGAAGGATACTACGCCGTGTACGATCCCTTCCAGCCGAGGAGGTACCACCACAATTTACGTTGGCAGATGTTGCACAGGTCATCAGAAGCGCAAAGTCATCCAAAGCGCTTGGTCCTGACGGAATCTCAATGGTGATGTTGAAGCAACTGGATGAACCAGGAGTTGAGTATCTGACAAAGCTTCTCAATCTGTCGTTAGCCACCCTAGTAGTTCCCGATGCCTGGAAAATGGGCAGGGTGGTCCCGCTACTGAAGCCAGGCAAGGATGCCAGCAAAAGTGATTCATACAGGCCGATATCACTTTTGTCACCAGTAGCAAAGAGGCTTGAGGCTTTACTCCTCCCCAGCATAAGAGAGTGTTTCCCAGTAGCCGATCATCAACACGGATTCCGGAAATTGCATAGCACAACAACAGCTTTACACGCCATTTCCACACATGTCAGTAGAGGTCTCAACCAGAACAGGCCGTGCGATAGAACAGTTATGGTGGCACTTGATTTATCAAAAGCCATTGATACAGTCAATCATGCCACACTGTTTGAGGACATTGAACGCACCACCCTCCGGCCAAGTTTGAAACGTTGGATAGTAAACTACATGTGTGGACGCCAGTCGTACGTGGAATTCAGAAACAAGAAGTCGAGCATCCGTAGAGTTAAACAGGGAGTTCCCCAAGGTGGGGTGATATCTCCGGAACTGTTTAACCTCTACCTTTCTGAAATTCCACGCCCTCCAGACGGCATAGAGATTATTACGTACGCAGATGATTGTACGCTCGTGGCGTCCGGACCCATTATTGATGACATTTGCGATCGGTTGAACGCTTACCTTGTTGATCTTACCGCCTTTTTCACTGCGAGGAATATGAAGATATCCGCCACTAAGTCGACGGCCACACTTTTCACCACATGGACTGCGGAGATGGGGCTATCCTTGAATGTGCAGGTCGATGGTGCTATTATTCCGACCACCAACTACCCCAAGGTATTAGGGGTCACATTCGATAGCCTATTTAAGTCGTCCGCGCATACCACAGCTATCTGCGACAAGATTAGAAGTAGGAACAAGGTCCTCAAGTCTCTGGCCGGCAGTACTTGGGGAGCTGATAAGGAGACCTTGTTGACCTCTTACAACGCGATAGGCCGGTCTGTGGTAAACTATGCGGCTCCAGTGTGGTCCGCTAACGTCAGTGCTACGCAGTGGAAAAATGTTCAGTCCTGCCAGAATGCCGCCCTTAGAACCGCAACAGGGTGCCTTCTCATGACACCCGTCGATCACCTACATGAGGAGGCGAAGGTCTTACCGGTGCGACAGCATAACAAAATGCTGTCAATGCAATACCTGCTTGGGTGTTATAGACAAAGCCATCCAAATCACCATCTTGTGGATAGGCAACCTCCGCCCAGGCACGTTAGGAAAGACCTTCATGATCTAGAGAGAGAGGTACAGAGGTATAAGAGAGAGCCTCTAGATCAACAGGCCTATCAAGCGGGACTGAATAGTATTCACTCTAATGCGGTCTCAGAAGCCATTGAAGGATATAGAGTGAATACTGTGCTAGGAGACCATCCCCCTCCCGTCGCAGCTGAAGAACGAGAGCTGCCCCGACAAACCCGAGTAGTCTTGGCTCAATTACGATCCGGATGGTGCAGCCGCCTAAATTCCTACTGGGCCCGGATCAATGGCGAAGTGCAGAACATCTGCCCAGCATGTGGCACAGGCCCACATGACACGCTGCATTTATTTCGCTGCCCAGCCAAGCCTACTCACCTAACTCCAGTCTCGTTATGGACTCAACCCATACAGGTTGCATCCTTTTTGAGACTGGACTTAGAGGCAGAACCGGATTGAACTGAGTTAGAAAATGGAAACCAAACGAACACATATGTATGAGCTGCTACAACAACAACAACCTTACCTTTTTATTTTACCATGATTTAAATATGCAAATTCATGATGTAATTGAAAATTACAGTAGAAAAGAATAAATATCGAACGATAAAGGTAACAGCAGATGTTTCTGCATTTTCATTTTTATCAAATTAGAAATTCATATATTCAATTGAAATGCAATTTTTTTCAATATCGAATGCAAGATTTTGGGGCCTAGCATGGTAACAAAATCTTTAGATAAATATAAAACATAGTTCTGAAACGAGATCTAGACCTTTCCTTCAATTGTCCCGTTTTTATTTATATATTCAAAATCGATGCAACAAGTTATTTTGTTTATTTGATAATAAAAGACTTGTTGTTTTTGTTTTGATAGTAATTCTGACATTACAATCCATACCTGTTGTTGTTGTAGCAGTGTTAACATGCTCCGTTGTTTATATTCTGATTAATCTGGCTCTTCGTCAATGTCCAGGTTAAGGAATTCTGCACCTTATGGGAGATCCTCTGGACGGAGTTGGTAGGTTTTTACTGGACAATTAAACCCGAACATGTATACACTGGGTTGGCAGCCGTGGGTTTGATCTATACCGCTAGGCCTCTTTACTTGCAAAATTTTCCAACTTAGCCTACCTTCCTTAGTCCTCAATTACATACACACACATTACTGCAATGCATTAGCAAAAGTTAAGTCGTCCATCGAAAAATCTCTGACAAAGAAGCAGCGGGTGAAATTGCAAGATCCGAGTCTATCGATATTGAAGTAGACCACTAGATTAAGCCACAATTGTGCCACTTCCTCAAGTTATATACATGGTTTACTCCGGGAGGGGCTAACAAAACTGGCTTAATAAAAGGGGATGCAATATCTCGAAGGAAATTTGGCCGACACTCTTTGATGTGAGACATATGCCTATAGGAAAATAAATTATAAACGATCTGTCTTCTTCTCCGACACAGAACCAGTTTTTCTTCATAAAGTCAGATGATTAAAGTGGCTGAACACAATGAACCAATAGGTCTCAGAGTGGACCAGCTGCATTAATGCAATTGCGCGTTTTTTAAGTTTAATTATGACCTAATGCAAAGAATATCCTCCACGGAGGTCATCACCACCCAACTCAACTGAAGAATGAAGCTTCTAAATTGAGATCAGGATGAATTTATCACCCCTATCGCCGTCGCTAGGGACTCAACCCACACCGACTTTTTTTTCAACTGTTAGAAAGAGTACAAAACTAGAGATACATCAAACCGAGAACAGCAGTGCACACTTTTACAGACCCGCTAAATGTGACCCTTATGATAAATATCATTCTCAGCTTGTCATCACCTTAATCATTTATAATTTATCTGGATATTAAAATATAATTTATTGCATGAAATTGTTATGAAATAAGCATAAAATTGAGACTGAACTGAACAATAAAAAAGTTAGAGTTTAATAAAGTATTACAGGATTGACATAAATAATAAATACTTTTTAAGCGGACACGTGAATAAAAGATATTAGTTTAATTATATTATGTGCAGTATTAATGTTGAATCAGTATTAAATTACATCCTGTCTATTCGGGAGGTGATTTGTGGATTCCCCATCCGTGGAAACATTTTGTAAATCGTTTTGATTCCTTATTTTTAAGAGTTAAAAATAATTTACGAGGGCGATCCGGCTGTTTAATTCGCATGTGTTGTATGTAAACCTATAAGAGAAGATGTTGATGAAGAACGCAACGTTTTATTTGATAAATCCTATTTACTTACTTGTGCAGATTTATAGGCAAGTTTAATTTCAACTTCACTGCATCGTGATCCCAGCCACAAAAATACTTGCTCGCCATTATCCAATATCATTATATCATCATCTGCTAAGTCATCTTGACAGAAGTCCGTACATTTCTCGGCTACAGTGAAGTAACCCTTTTCGTTTGAGCATCTGAACAGTCGGGTGTAGTTCATGTAATCGGCATTAGTATCGTATGGCTTACGTCCTCCCAATGCCACCCAGAAAAAGTTTTCGGGCTCTTCTCCTTCATTCAAAATTTGTAAACTGACCCAAGGACTGTTAAACATATCCTCGGCAATTTCTTGAATTAACTTTGCCTCCTCTGGACAACATTTGGAACCAAGCCAAACATAAACAATTCCCGATTGTGAATTATCACTGGTTTCGAATGGTACATATAAAATGTAACTAAAAATAAAAAAGGAATGTAATTTTAATTGAAACTATTCCGCTAGTTAGTCGATAAAAGCTATAAAAATCCCACAATGTTATTAAATATTTTCTTATTTGTTCCTTCATCAGAGAAGCTAGAATTGTATGGTCTTAATAAAACAACAACAAAAAATACCCTAGCATTTCTCAAGTTGGTTTAAACATTTGTTTTTAAATGATGCGGAAAATTACATAGCGCGATTTTTGGCAGTTAAAGCTTAAAAGTCTTTAAAAATAAGTTTTTGGCGGATGTGTCAACAAATATTAGGATTATAAAAAACCGACTTGGACGATTTTAAGAGACGTTCTGTATTGGTATAACTTCTACCAATCTATTTTATGTTAAGAATTGCGAGATTGTTGGCCCAGGCGCGATAGTTTATTAATTTTTTTGTACTAAAGAGCACACACAGATTGGATTATTATTGATCTAGAATCCTGACTACAAAGATATAGAGACGATTAAACACCAACTATGCAGATGTGCCATGTTATCCAACTCAAGAAACTCTAACATTCTTTCTAACTTAAATCCCATCATCATCTATCAGTTTGCCAAAAACAAGCCATGGGTTCTAATTGTACTGTCTCTATAAACACTTTCTTCTCTTTCTCTATCACTTATATTAGCAACAACTTTATTTTTGGACTCCGGGTGAAGGAGTAGCGTCCTATACCAAAAATCCGATTATTTTCATCCTCACTATTTGTCACATTGCGTTCAATGTGCTTTTAAATTACATTTGATTTTGCCACTATTGATAAGTGTCAAAGTCATCTTAACAGTTTCTAAAGGCAAACATGTCGTCTTCCATAATTAAAAAAAAATTAAAAATTATATAGGTTATTATAGAAAATGCTAAATGCTTAGCATAAAATATCCATACCAAAATGCTGAATTCAAGTATGCTGCATCCGGATGTATTTGTATCAAGCGAGTTGTAAGTGCGCCACCATTAGAACGCAAATGGAAAAATTCTACTGCTGATTTACTATCGGGAGATTTCTGTCTATCTTTACGCTTTCCAGTATGTATAATGAACTTTCGCTTGAAATGCGCAAGAAATTTCAAATTTTCCTGTTGCTGATGGATACGCACAACCTCCAGCTCTTCGCCGAACATTGTTTTGAACTTTTTTTGTAACGTAAATGTGAATGTCAGCCAGCCCATGTTTCCAGCATTACGACCTTGCCAAAAGTATACAATACATTGAATTTCATCATCCGGCGGAGGTTTGCTATCGTCAATGTCGGTGCCGTCCTCATCTTCGTCCATGGGTATGCAGTAACGGCACAAGAACACATAACACTCTCCAGTGTAGAAGTGACCCAATTCTTCCTCCGGTAGGCGTACAAATTTTTTCCCCTCCAATACAAAAGCCTCCATGGCTTCCAGATCGTAGTTCCAATCTTCTTCTAATTGTTCGGCCTCACTTAAAGGCATAGGATTTTGTCGTGGCATGAATAGTGCCGCAAGATCTGCTCGTGTTTCTTGTTGTTTAGCCCACTTGGTAAGGTCGGCCCCAGTCTTAGCAACAGAATTTGCAGTTCTTGTAAAGTCCACAGCCATGACCTCATCCCAACCAATAAATTTCGATTTAAACATTTGCGTTTCGGAACCTTCTTGTAAACGAGTTACCAAGGAATATGTTGGTCTGGATATCATGTTGAACAGTTCTCGGGACAGTTTGATTGCTGCAGCTCTTACGAGACGAGTCGATTTCTTTCCAAACCACACAAATAGATCAGTAAAACAATCGAGAATGTAAACATTTTTGCTGACCAGCAAAGAACAGACAAGCTTTTGCTCCGGAATTTCCACTTGTGGCAGCTCCAAGTAACCCATACCCAATTGTACTTGATAAAGCCTAGGTGTTGAAGGCACAAAGTTGTCTTGGACATGTTGAAGAATTTTTTGTTTCGGTGCCTCCTCCGGATCAGCATTTAAATGACGCCAAAGCTCCTCACTTTCGCTACCTAGAACGATAAATTAGTTTGAAAATTATTTTTGCAAATATATTTAAGACACAAAGTTCTTACCTTGCATTTCCACCATAATCTCACATTTATTCTTTCTTTCGGTTTTATTAATTTTCTCCGCCATCAGACGTGTTTTTGAGTTGAGCGTGTTTTTGGAGCATCTTCCCAACCAAATAAACATTTTTATGCCACAATCGAGAAGAAAAGAATATCTTGGATCCAATGATTCTATACCGACTGCAACAGGTTCCATGTGTATCGATGAACCAGCTGCGTGAACCCGATACAACCGAATGGTGTATAGCATATCTTCAACCGTATAGAATCCAGTGGCAGTGCGCCCACCCTCAATATAGGTTACGGAAGTGTCGAAGAGATCAAGGAATTCCTCAGATTCGTCACCTTAAAAGTCGGTATAAAATTTACCGTTTCGTTCAATATAGCTGACTACTTACCCTGTTCCTCTCGAATCGTACGACATCGAGCACCCAGAAAATTTCTTAAATTTACAGCATGTATGGCAGCGCAAGCTCTCTTATCCAACGTAGCTTCATTTCCAATCCAGAAATAAATTTCCCAGTTGAGCTGACCCACATCATCATAACTTGACTTTAGAACAATATAACAATCTCCTTCATAGAACTTTCCATGAGCAGCTTCTTCAATTTTATTTGGGAGGAAATTCTCTATTTCCCATATTGTCAAACCAGGTAACTGACCATCTTCCTTTTCAAAGAACTTTGAATAGTCTAGCTGTGGCTTTTCCAGTGATTCATCCCATCGTTTTGGCTTTAATGATTCTGGGCGAGTTTCATCTGAATCGTTGCACCAGGACTGATTAGCCTCTGCATCGTCCTTATCTTTTGCTACATCTTTCATGCCTTTCAGTATTTTTGCAGAATCCTGTGCGGAATCAGTGCGTGGACCGCGGCGTAATCGAATTTTGCGAGCTGTCGAGTCCTTTGGCGTCGACGTAACCGGAACAGTTGGCGGTACCGCAGCTCCGGCAAGTCGTAGTTGTGTTTGCAAAGAGAAATCGATGTTATAAAACTCAACGCCCGCGCCCTTTGTAGCTTCAGTTGGCTTTGGTGGCATGATTAGATCAGGATTATTGCGTAAATCTAACTGATCAAGGCCATCTAACAGGTGTATTGCATCGGGTAATGTTATTAAACGATTCGATGAAAGGTTAAGACGTTTTAAAGAACCACAACGACACAATCCTTCGGGAACCATTTCCAGCAGATTGTTGGAAGCTGAAAATATTTCAAGACAGCACAATTTTCCAATACCGGATGGTATTCCCTCAAAATCAAGTTTATTATCATTTAGATACAATCTACGCAGTTGTGTAAGCTTGCATAAGGATGCTGGCAAACTGGACAATTCATTGCGCGACAAGTTGAGCACTTCCAAACGCTGCCAGTTTTCTATATTAGAACTTATCTCAGTTATGGCGTTTTCGCTAAGGTTCAGTCTTTTTAAGTTTGGCAAATTGTAAACACAATCAGGAATTTTAGGAAGACTGTTCTGAGACAGGTCTAACTCCGACAAATTCGACAGGGTATCCAATGTGGTAGGAAAATTTGAAAGTGTGCGTTGGGTATTTCGCATATTAAGCACCTCGAGGTTTTGTAAAGATGGCAACTGCCTCAACTGAAAAAGTTCCAAGGGATTGTCGGCCAAAATAAGGGTCTGTAAATTGGCAAGTCGCCTCGTCTGCGGCGGCAATGTTTCCAACTTATTGTGAGATAAGTCCAAAAATAGAAGATCGGTTAGATGTATAAACAGCGTGGTGGGAATAGTTTCAATATTATTGTGACTTAGATTCAATACTAGGAGGCTCTTTGCCTTTTCTAGTCCTTCAGGCACCTCCTTCAATTTATTGTGCGACAAATCTAGAGTGGTTAGTTCTTCGAGGTGGAATAATTCCGGCGGAACACCACTGCTTTTAATGCAATTCCGTCTCAAGTTTAAGGATCGCAAACAAGTTAGTTCAGTAAGCTCTCCGAACAATTTCTCTAATTGGTTGTTTTTAAGACTCAAGTGCTCGAGTTTCAGCAAGTTCCCAAGTTCTTCGGGAACATCGGTTAAATGGGTTTTATCCAAATTCAGCCATTGTACCCGAGTCATTAATTTTACAGCTGACGGGAAATTGTTATCCTGAAAATATTAAAAAAAATCATACATTTTATTACCTTCTTACAAAGAGTTTATCAATGCACTGGAAAAAATGCATGTATTGTCAAAATTTTTCAATAAAACTGCCCACCGTTTAAACATGTAGACGACATATATGTACCTGTCGTTCATGGTAAACGTGGACGAAACCATAAATCACGTATAAAATCAGCAATAAACTAATGTTTATATATGTATGTGGATTTGTTTTTGTTCAATATATGCTTTGGAATAAGACTTTGTTTGTAAACAAACGGGTGTAGAACGCAGCGCTGCGACAGCAACTGTCCAGCATAGCAAAATGATGACAAATACGCTTGACACCATTCTCACATGAAAGTTTTGTTTTTAAAAATATTTTATTTAGAAATAGGATTGTAACTATTAACTATGAAAATAAAATATTTTTATTTGGTGTCACTTTCTTTGGTTAAACTTTAGCCAAGATACGATATATAAATAATTTGTGGATTCTTATTTCCAAAGTAAAACTTTTCCTACTTACACTGAAGTCATTTTTTGTAAAATCCACTCCACGCACAAAAGGCAATACTCCCGTATTTGCCATAATGAAAGCTGCTGAGAGCCAAACTTACTGTAGGTTAAAAAAATGGAATTTACGGAAGGAAATAATATTAATAATATTTGCAACTTTATTCTTGTAATTGGGAGTTATGTGGAAAACGAGCAAGTTCAAATGCGGTATTCTGTGAATGGAACCATCCGATCCGTATTTGGCCATCAAGTCCCTTTAGTTTAATTAATTACTTGATTCCAACTAGTTTATTTAATTAATCTAGTTCACATGTTCTACAATCAATAATATGGCATAATCATGGTACCATGCATGGTAGAAGAATATAGGTAGACGCATCGACACAGCTGCTGGGACAATGAACTGTCAAACCAAAGTTGGAATTGAAAATGTTGAATGAAAAATTATTTAAATTTATAAAAATTTTTGAAAAACGTGTATTATAATATCCTCCGAATGACGTCGTATAAGAAAACATATAGAAATCTACTTATATTTGAAAAAAAAATTAAAATTTTTCGACATATCAATGTTTCCAAGCGTTGATGCATCTACCTGTATTTTTGTACCATGGTACCATTGTAGAAGAATATAGGTAGATGCATCAGCCTTTGGGAACATTGATATGTCAACATTTTAAAAATGTTTTATCAAAAATGAGTAGATTTTCTAATGTTTTCTTATACGACGCAAATCTGTGGTTGTTGCAATACGCATTTTCCAACAATTTTTACAAATTTCAATGATTTTTCATTTAACAATTTCAAATCCAAAATCGATTTGACAGTTCATTTTTCCCAGCAGCTGTGTCGATGCGACTACCTGTATTCTTCTACCATGCATGGTACAATTAACAGGTAAGGTAGAGCTACCAGCTGATTGCAATTTTATCCTATGTGAGCCCGACTTCTGCCAATTTTGTGTATGTATTTATTGTTTAAAAAAATAGTTTCAAAATCAAAAATTGGAAGACGCGTACATTGCGGGACGCGCACTGCAGCTATTAGCGAGTTTTGACATGTAATTGAAAGATCGAACTATTTAGATCATATTTTTGAAAGAAAATTCAGGCATTTCTTTCATTATTGCGCTGTTTAACTAATTTAAAAAAGAGGAAAATATTGAATAAATGAAAATAACTTGTTTGAATGCAAATTTGACAGTAAGCGGGCATAGCCTCAGGGCTGTATGTATGTAGTTTTACGAAGCTGTTCTACCTCCTTATTGTACCATGGGCATAATTAAGAAAAAAGTTTACTCATGCTCTGTTCCGCTACCTGCAAGAATCTACTAGTTTTGTAATTTTCTTCGATATCATAAAGGGAAAATCCATTATCGCAGTGAAAACTTTCAAATTCTTGCATTTCTGGAACAGGCCATAAATTTCAAAGAAACTAGGAAAATGCAACTCTGTACCAGAGTAAATAAACTTTTAAATATATAATCATGGCAAAGCAATAAAGGTAAACTTATTTGCTAATTTTAATGCGGCAACCCTTTTCTGACGAACGCGACCTTGTCATTTTTTAAATAAAATCTTTTTACATATCTACAATATTTTCGTATGTCGAGTGCAGATTAAAAAAAAAAATAAAACAATCTTTTGTTTTCGGCATTTCTTTTCACATAACTTTGGAATACAAGTTTATCTGTTCTTGGACTTAAACATATAAAGATAAAGATTTCAACCCCTTCATCTTAGGAAACCTTTTCGGTGATGTTAGTTCTTGTGTAGGCCTCGAAATACGTTTTGTTTTAGGCCTTCACAATACCCGCTATATGGATTCAGTACTAAAACAAACCCGTACGCTGACAATTTCTTGTAACAAACTAAATGTCAATTTAATTGAAAATAATGCCATGTTTACGTTAGAACTTTTTGTAGGGTTAACCTTCTTTGAGAGGATTTATTTGAAGTAAAAGTAATGGATATGACAATTTAAATCCAAATCCAGTTGGTTAACCCTCATATATATAAACGTACTATAAGAGATGACAATCTTCTACTAGTATTTTGAAACCTAGGCGTGATATTGTCTTCATACTTGTCCTAAGCGAACCCAAATTCAACATTTCCATAATTAAGTTTTACATGAATTATTAGAATAATTTTTTAGTTTTCTGTTTTAAATTATATATTTTTTTATACTTTTATACCCTCTAAAAGGCGTGAAAATTAAAAAAAAAAACATTTGCTCGAAAATATATGTAAACTTCTTACCATACTTAAGGAAGAACTACAAAATATATATTTGACAATGAAGGGACAAAAATACAACAGTTCGTTTTATGAATGGCACAATTACAGATGGTAGAACAGAGCTACCCCCTAAATACAATTTTTTATTTTGGTGCCCCTATTCTGACAAAACATATACACAGTTTGTATGTGTGTGTATTGTTTTGAATTAGGAAGAAAATAATTTGAAATTATTTGAAATTTAGATGCAACAAAAATTCATGTTTTCCACATTGTCGTACAACAAAGTGTATTATTTTGGGCTGAAACATTCAATTCAATTTTGTGTAGAAAGTCCAATATTTCATTCATATTTTGTGAATTTCATTTTAATTTGTGAAAATAGAGTAATATAAACAAAATCAATTGTTGAATGTTTAAAAATATATTTGACACTAGACTCCGGTATAGAGTCGCATTTTTCTTGTTTCTTGGAAGTAACCTTGGGAAAAACTTACAAAACATGAATGAAACATTGGAGTTTCACCACAAAATTGAATTCAAGATAGAGGGACAATATTTTTTTAACCCAAAATCAATATCCCAAAGGGGCAATATTGTTTTATCCAAAAAATGTGCATTCTGTTGTCTCTAAATTTTAAATACTTTCAAATTATTTTCTTTTTTATTCAAAACAATCATGGTAGAATAAGGAAGATAAAGTCATGCAATCATATGTTTCAATTTTTCAAAATTATTCATTTGACAACATTTCATTGTCAAAATATTTATTTATAAATCCATTGTACATAAACAAATCAGAGATGGGAACCTGTTTTCTATGCAGTGAAAATTTGAAAGGTAAATTACAGAAAGTGCAAAGATGGAAATGTTTATTTGAAATGATTTTACCTTCTTAATTTTACCACGAAACAATACACACACATATACAAACTATGTATATGTTCTGACAAAATAGGAGCACCAAAAGAAAAAAAATTGTATTTGGGAGGTAGCTTTGTTCTACCCTCTGTAACTGTGCCATGGTTACGAGGTAACTACATTAAGGTGAGAATACATAAAACGCTTTCTAGAATGGCTTAAGTCATTGGCTGGCTCCTGAAAGGTTGTTCAACTTAAAAGCAACAAAACAATTAAAACTTTGTTTATAATAACCCATGGCAAAATTAAGGAGGTAAAGTCATTTCAAATTAGACTATTCATCTCTACATTTTTCTGTAATTTACCTTGTCAAATTTCACTGAATAAAAAACAGGTTACCATCTCTGACTTCTGTGTATACAATCGATTTATAAATATAAATTTTGACAATGAGATATTGTCAAATGAATAACTTGGAAAAAATTTTAACATATGATTACATGACTTTACCTTCTTCATTCTACCATGGAAAAACCCATGGTAGAACACATGGCAGAAGAATACAGGTAGATGCATCAACGCTTGGGAGCATTGATATGTCAAAAATTGTAAATGTTTTTTTTTTTTTTTTCAAATATAAGTAGATTTTTATATGTTTTCTTATACGATGTGATTCGGATTTGTGTTTTTCAACAATTTTTACAAATTTAAATAATTTTTCATTCAACATTTTAAATTCCAAAATTGGTTTCACAGTTCATTGTCCCAGCAGCTGTGTCGATGCTTCTACCTATATTTTTCTACCATGGTAGAACTCATATGTTTACAATTTTTTTTTCAAATTTATACATTTGACAACACCTCATTGTCAAAATCTATATTTATATCAGATATCGGAACCGTTTTTATTCATTAAAATTTGTCAAGGTAAATGACAGAGTTGGGGATGGTAATTTTAAATGAGGTTACCTTTATTACATTGTACCCATGGTAGAAAAATACAGGTAACAGCAAGTGTTGTTGTACAACAATCATAACAACAACCACATACAAATTTGTTTTTGTAAGTAATACAAGTGTCAGAGTTATGTGTCCAAAATATGCATTTTTGGAATTTGGATTATTAAATTAAAAAAGCAGAAGAATAGTTCTCAAAATATTTAATTTTAATGCTATCGCATCATTCCCCTGAATGTATAGTTGTTAGCTGTTGGTCCTAATCTCTCAACACTTCAAGCAATCGCTAGAAAATCGCGGAAAAAGGCAACATCACTTTCAAGTTGAAACCAAACAGCATAAAGTATTCTAGATTTTACAATTTTGGGAAACATGAAATATACGAATATATTATCTAACATGGTGTCGCTGTTCTTCAACCGCAAAAAAATTTCCAAACCATCGCCTTGGCGTTTTGTTAAGTACAACGGCGATTTTTTCTATTATTAGGCAAAAAATATGTTCACATTGCCCTGCAGTGAAATTTTATACCAAACAAGTAAAAAAGCTGTAAGTTCGGCCGGGTCGAACTTTTAATACCCTCCACCATTTGGCACAAATTTGGCAATTTCCAAAAAAAAAAAAAAAACAAAAAAATAAAATCCGTTAAAAATTCTGTTAAAATCTTAAAAATACCGAATGCCTATACAACGACGTGGACCTGCATAGGCAATTTTGTCATAAGTTATTACAATATTTAAATGCGAAACTTGAAGAAAAATCTGTTTATAATGAGCTAAAATCACCAAAATACTGAATATGGGGGTACTGTTATATGGGGGCTATACGAAGACGTGGACATGCACAGACAATTTTCTGACTTAGGATGTAGTATCCATTACGAACTTCAAATACCAAATTTGAAACGATTCCGGTAAATAATGTCGCTAAAATCATCAAAATACCGAATATCGGGGGTACCGTTATATGGGGGCTATACGAAGACGTGGACATGCACAGACAATTTTCTGACTTAGGATGTAGTATCCATTACGAACTTCAAATGCCAAATATGAAACAATTCCGGTGAGTAATGTCGCTAAAATCATCAAAGTACCGAATATCGAGAGGTACCGCTATATGGGGGCTATATGAAAACGTGGAGCTACATGGCCCATTTACGA